TGGTTTTCAGAAATGGCAGTTTGGACATATTTATCGGCGACAAACCAATTTTGGACTACTATAGCGGAACTGATCACGATTGTAAACTCCAACCGTACGGCGATCCCCTATACGACGACGTGTACGCCGTGGGCATGACGAAAAATTTCGTTCTAAAGGTTTGTCAGCAACGTGTTACTAATAATATAATCAAAAAGTTTCAGTAACGAGAAGAACAATAGGGGGTCAAGTATACCCTAGGACGGATCTATTTACGGTCAAGGCCCTTATCATAAGCGTAATTATGGTGCTAGACTGTAATTTTTCTCTTTATTTTCGAAACGTGGAAATTTCGGCTCCCTATGTATTGTCTTATCATTAACAACTCAAAAAGTTAACCTGTAATTTCGATTCTGGTTGAATTGATTACAAAGTAACAACGCATTGTAAAATAAAAATATCAAATTTCAATGTCGAAAACGCATGTTTCATATATTAAAAAGTGAATAAATTACTAATTTTTCTTATTTTATTTTTCGGTAACGTGTGTGTGGCACTTGCTGTCAATTCTCCTCCCCGCAGCATCTGCCTTTGGGAAAATCTAATATTTTGCTGTTCACCGGTCGTGTTCTCTCTCAAAATATCATAGAATTTTTACTTCAAAATATAAACAACCCGAGAGGGTATTTTCGATTTTTCTTTTCGATTAGTTCTACCCAACATGATTTTTTCAACGAATAAAGGTTTTAGATTTTTACCTGGGACACATGAACGTTTTAAAACAGTTTCGGGGTTTATTTTTCAACGTTACAGGTGTTGCTGCAAGCCGCCGAAATTACAATAATTTACTTTTTCTAAAAATGTACTCCGTCATATTACTTTATTCAACAACAGTTCAATTGTCAGAGAGGGGCACTAGGAGCACATACCCTTCCGCCCCCCTGAAATCTATTTTTCCGTAATGCTGTAGTACTATTATAAGTATCATAAAATATTACGTTTTATATTATTATTATGTAAAATATTATAATTTATTCTCCGGAGGGCTATAGACTTTATTTTAACTTACGTTGCAAAACCAAGGAGGTATAAATAATAAGTGATACGAAAATGAGGGATTCATAAAATCACAGGCGATAAGTATTCTAGCTTAACAAAAACTAGATAAAAAAAAATGAAGTGCCCTACCTAAGTGCTGGTCAACAATAATAATAAATCCGTTAATTTTTGTCAAATCGATAATAACAAAAATATGACCGTGTTTTGCGTACAACAGGAGAAGGTTTCCGGTGCGGTTTCGAGGTACATCAACAACGGTTTCATGGATATCTTGCAAAACAGGTGGTTCAGCGATCTGCCCTGCATCGACCGGGAATTGGAAACTTCGGACATCGGACAACCGACACCGCTAGGCGTGGACGCGTTTCTGGGAGTGTTTCTGATGTTGGGCTGTGGGATTCTGGCGGGCGCGGTTATCCTTTGCTTGGAACACGCTTTCTACCATTACATGTTGCCCAAACTCCGGCAAAAGCCCCCGGACTCGATATGGCGAAACCAAAACATGATGTTTGTCAGTCAAGTGAGTCGCATTATATGTATTATATTACAACGAGTATTATCCAACACCTATATTTATTATATATTGTAGCAATGGCAATAATTTCTTATTTTTAATTTTTCTTTCTTTCTTTTCTGTAAATATTATAATACTATCACGTTGTGTTTGTTTAGAAACTGTACAAGTTTATAAATAGCGTAGAACTAATATCGCCGCAACACACGGCAAAAGAATTGGTGCACACACTTAGACAGGGGCAAATCGCATCGCTGTTTCAAAAGAGCGTACGGCGAGTTAGTTTGCCTTTTATGCATCCACAGCACGCACAGGTTAGCCGTCTATACATATATATATATATACGTAGTTTACGTACCTATAAACTCTGCGGAAATTTACTGTAAAAAAAAAAAAAAAACCCTAAATCATTAAATATTCCTTTTATTGTTGCAGAAAGAATTCGAGCGAAGAAAACGGAAAGGCCAGTTCTTCGAAGTCATCGAAGAGATCCGAAGGTGCGGATGTTTTCGTATTGGTTTTATTTTTATACCTCTGAAAATATTATACGCTAATGCGTTTGGTTTTGTGATTTGTGCAGATTGCAAAGGGAAGAGAGGGACAACAAAAAGCAAAACGTCCGGTTGACTCTGTCCAACTCCCCGACCGGCGGTCAGTCCCCGAAGCGTACGCCGGCCAAGTTTTTGTCTCCTTCCAGGTAAATCGCATATCCGAAACTAGATTTTTGTATTCATTTTTTTTTCTGTCAAATCTAATATGCGACTCTGCGGTTTTCGCGCAGGTTGAGCATGGGCAGACGGTACAGCAAACAGAGATCGAGGAGCTCGGGCAACCTGAGCGTACGCCGGTACAGCCAGGACGTGGCCAGTTATTCGGAAACGGTGGGCCGAAGGCTCAGCCAGGGCGCTTCCAACAGTCCGCCTGACTTCAACACGCGCAAACAGCTGATCAGGAGATCGTCCGGCAACCCCAGTCCGGCCGACTCGAGCCGGATGAGCATATTCTCCGCGTCCGAACTAATCGGCGCGAAACTCAGCAACAACAACCTGTACGTGGAAAACGATCTGCCCCGCAGCCCCAACTTGTTGTCCCCCGGCGTGTTTTTCAGGTACGCGGTGTAATAGAGCGGTAAACGAATTCGGCCGGACGTCTCGCGTGCCAACAAATGATTACGGGCCGGAACTGCAGGTCGTCTCTGTTCGGTGGTCGTAATGCTATCCAGCCGGAATTGTTTACTCGGTATTTCATTCGGACGAATAAATCACGTCGAATGCACATAACGGGATTTTCGAAGTTATCGTAATCGAAATTATATACGAATTTCACAATGTCCTGTGAAAGGTAAATTAGGTTATCGGTTCAGATGATAATATGAAAACATTGTACTTCAAACAGTCGGAAAAGTAACGGACATTTTAAACTACATAATATTAGTTACACTTTTGTAATTCTTTTGATAATATACAGAGGTGGCCAAAAGTCGCGCAACAAATTCGCATTTCGGCAGTGTTACGAACGATAACGAACGTGAAACTGCGTCTAATAGGTTATGTTGTTTTTTTTATAAACCTTGCTGTTGTTGTACGTTTAACAAGATAACGAGACCAAAGTTGTAATATGACGTAACGGAAACGACGTGGAGGGAGAAACGCGTTCCATACAAGACGGTAGGTGTTGCGCGACTTTTGGCTACCTCTGTATATAGTTTAAAAAAAATGTTTACACATTTATTTAACTTGAAAAAATATTCGGAGTTTTATTTATTTTTATTTTTCAAAACTGAGCGCAAACAAAACTTTTTCTACACAATATATGTTTATATTGAATAGTTTCAAGGCCCCTGGGGACGTTGCAATTGTATGTTTTATTCGAAAACTCGTATCGTTTCGTTGGCACGATGGACATTTTTATTTTGTTTTGATATTTAAAACGATGATGTTTCAACCATACCTACCACTCTCGAAGACCCTCTCTCCCGGGTTATATTACAATAATAAATTATCGTTGTTTCAGGTCTAGTTTCTCGTCGGACACGTCGTCGTCACGACCCGACTTGGGGATACCATCGAGGAAGTCGAGCTACTCGCAGGGACCGCCGAGGGTGGTGATCAACGGCGAACAGCAGTCAGCCATCCGCCGGAAGTCGGACGACGAACCGGCACCGGCCACGTTGCCGAGGATCGTCGAAGTGAAAAAGGTCCGGCGATCCAGCGACGGACACCGTTTGCCTGCTAAGAACCGCAAGCCGGTGGAAGTGTTCCGGTGGTTGAAACAGGCGCCCAGGACGGAGCTGGAGACAATGATCAAGATGTCCGAAGACGAGATCAAACACTACATAACCCAAGCGCTCGAGGACCAGGACCCGACTTGATTGTTACTGGCCACGGGCGGCGATGACAACGACGATGACAACCGGGAAAACGGTACCGGAGTTCACGTCCAATGCAGCGATAGTGCGGTGCGATCGTCGCCCACGACGATGGAAGCTTAACAAAAACTATATACAATGAACATATATAAAAAAAAAAAAACCCCAATCGCTCATTGTTTTTTCGGACTTTTTTTTTTTTTTTGTTATTCAATTTATTCCCCTTTCTATATTATACTATTATATATTATATCGTTTTCCAGAGGATTCGACAACGGTATGATTATAAACAATAATTTCGTATAATTCTGAAAAAAACTGTCCGCCGAGGTATAGATTATATGAGACAAGCGTTATTTTTGTTGTTGGTATTGTTGTTGTTGTATAGAATTATTACCTAGGGTAAACGATGCTCAAGTGCGTGTGTATTAAGGGTTCAGTGTCGCGATCATTTTGTCGTGAAAGAAATAAAGAAAGGAAAAGTGTGTGAATAAGAAGAGCACGGTGTTTTAAAATTGTTTAAATCAAAAAAAAAAGGCGGTCTATTTTTTTTTTTTTTTTTTAGACGAAAATATTGAGACTTTTTAGTATACTGTCTATACCGAAAAAAAAAATCGTTTCATTGCAAATATTACTTTTGAAAATGTACGAAATTAGATTTTAAAACACTGTGGGACGTCTCCGTTTTGATAATAACACGTGTTTTTTTTCCAAAAAAAATATTTCACTATTATTACATATATAATTAGATTTATAACTCAAAATATTATTACTTACATATTATTGTTTTTGAATTTCATATTATATTATAGAAGTGTATATTATTATTATCTACTACTATTATATTATTGAATCGTATTTTATTATTATAATAACTATATTATATTTTATGCTCATTTAAATAATATTAATACAATAATTTTACTTATAAAAAGTGTGTATATAATAACGATGTTATCACTAAATATAATAATTATGTTATCCCTTTATTTAATATCTATTTATATTATATTAATGGCATAGGTAATACGAGTATAATAACGATAATGTTAGCCATACTTGGTCCGAACTCATATTTGCCTGATAGTTATGTATGTGGGCGAAATGATCCGTTACACTTCCTCGGATCTTTTGAAATGTGGTTCTACGATAATATTATTATTATGACGGTTTTCTTCGGCTATTGCCTGTATAGACAAACAGCAAGCTCGACAATTGTTACAATTCATTCTGTTTTCATATTCTATTGATAATATTTTTCGCACCTTGCTGTTAGCTACAAGTTATGTAACTTTAGTTACAAAATACTGACAAAGTGCTGCACTCTATACCATTACGGCTATGCTCTGTACACATTGATTTTGTATAGCGGTACGGAATTTTAATACAATGATAGAGGCCGCGCGCTGTGCTTTCCGCAATTTTCTGTAATATTATAATCATTACGAAGACGTAATACCTATGCATGTGTAATGTAACGTCTCCGTCTTACAAACGTACGACGTAACAAATGCACGTTCAACAGGGCCAACTTGTACTGTTAGTTTTAAATGAATTGGCCTGTTAGGAAACTTAAAGGTATAAACACTATATGTGAGACCACGTAGGTTTTTTCGATATTTTGAAACGAACTATTGGTATGGGATATATCACAATATTTAAAAATGTTTGCAGGTATCTCGCTAAAAACTCTTCTTCTTGTCTTCAAACGTTTGATTAGTTTGCTGCAGTTCACCGCGCTTCCCTTTCTATACTTGATTCCTCCAACCCCTTGTAACTACCGTTCGTGTGTGTCTTCTATGACGCATTTCGTCAAGCTATCGTGAAGCAATATATCTATCATTTTTTCCCTTTTTGACTTTTATACTATGCCAAAGTTTTTTTTTAGATTCTTCTTCGTTTGTTAGTCTTTTTATCCATTTAACTTTAAACATTTTTCGTTGACATTACATTTCAAAAGCCTAGATTTCGTTTGTTATCCATAAAGATTGTTCAAGTTTCGCAGTCACACTAATCCACACTCTACGCATACACTTTCAAGAACTTTTTCCCACCTAGTAAGGTCACACTTTTAGTGGTCAATAAATGATTTTTGCACTGAAAAGCCCTCTTTGCGTGCGTTATCCTGCTAACTAACGTCTGCGTACTTCAACCATTTTCTGCTATTTTACTTCCTAAATAATTCGCAGCAAACGAATGGCGTCCCAACGTAAAAACATTATTTTTCTTCCCGTTTTATACAGACTTATCGGGACCATCAAATGCAACTTATTACTATTGGCGGGTTAAAAATACTGATTTCGGTCGCTGTTACGCAATTAAAAGTTTAAATAATTTCGCTATAGATTATTGCTCAGTTTTTTTCTGTTAAATAATTCAACAGAATTTTTAATATGATTATGACCGTGTGCACATTCTATAACCTCGTTTTTATCGTTTTGTTTAATATATATATTGTATACGTATGTATATATATTGTATACGTATGTATGTATATAACTTGGACGTTATTTTACAGCAAATCCAATGTTGAATGCGTCATTATTTAACGTTTTATGGTAATGGCATTTGTATTAATTTATACAAAATAAAGTTTTATTTTTTTTCACTTGAAATCACCGATGTCGTTTTGTTAATATGATTTAAAATCATGTCAACGTTTACGCAAACGCGATCGAATATTACGAGAATTATACAAATTCAACGCTACAACAATACGAATAAACTACGATTAAACACAGACGGCAGATATACTAAAAGCGCAATATGTTTCTAAATAATCATTTCGGACAAAATCTTTACAGCTGTACAGATAATATGTTTACCTTTATTGTTTTTTATTTTTTATTTATTCCATATGGCCACCATTCCGGCACCTTTGTGTTTAATAATAGGTCGTTCACTCTAACATTAAAATTAATACGTTTGCACGCAAATGTGCCGCGCCGTACGTTTCTAAAACGGAGATAGCACATGCGAGTATCACGTCATCTTAAGATAACAAAGATTTTACATCGAGTTACGGGACCTGTATGTTAATACCGAGGTCGTACATATTATAAATAATCGTCTTTTTGATTACGTGTACGTATATTATAACTGTTCACGTTGATTCTTAACTTTCATCAATTTTCTACGGTAATCTTTGTTCGTTACTATCGTATATTAAAATACACATTATATTCGTATTGTAAGTATGTAAGAAAACGTTTTTTTCACGTGCACGTTGCGTTTTGCCGTAGATTTTCGTATCATTATGATTATAATATGTTACTACCGGTACTGAGGTCCTTTGTTGGGTTTCGGCGCGTTTACCGCGGTACATATTCCGACGGAACCATCTCGAAAGCTATATACAATAATATATTGTAACATAACATTACTATTATCGAATACGATTAAAGCATTTAATATTTATCATTGTAATAATATGTCGTTTGGTTATTCGATTATAAAGATTTGATTAAAGTCAATTAAAAAACTAATAATAATAACCCCGTCTTTTTATTTTTGATTTAGCCCCGTGCGTGCAGTAACCACTATGTAATAGTGGTCACAGTTACCAATCTACTGTACCTATAGTTTAATGGTACAGGCGCAGATTGGTAAAAACCATTGGCTGCCATACATCATTTTAACGTAATTTACCACAATTATTGAGAAAAATTAAAAAAATTTTAAAAATGTTATAAACCATAAAAGAAAAAAAAAAAAAAAGGAAAACACAAATTTTCTACTGAGGATAAGGCTGAAAAAGAAACCGATGAGAAAAATACCGTTGGGATAACCGAGAATGAGGTTGAAATATGTGATTAAATAGACTGTGGAAGCTTTAGAACTAAACAATAACATTTTAACGATGGACAGAAATGGTTAGAGAATTGGTTGTCATACTGATCGTCCTAAAGGCCGAATAAATCCCGAGTCAGATGGATTGGGAAAATTTGAAAGAACAAAATTCCGGCGTAATTCGCACCATAGCTAGATCTAGATGGCCAAAATATATACGTGAATAATATTGTAGATTGAATTTTTATTTTATTTTATAATGCAGTTGCATATTGCAGTTCATATCCTCCACTATGCAACCACTATGCACGCCACTGTAAAGGTAAACGGTAGTTTCAGAGTTTCTATTTCATTAGAAGATCCTAGAGCTTTCTTATTAAAAACTCGTATCAATTTCAATTAGATTGATTAAAGAAAATGTATACACTAATTTAAGGTAAATACATTTTGGGCATGAAGTATCGCGTAGCAACAGAGATACCATTTAAAGGTGGCAAGGTGTGCATCTGCACCCCCCCTCCTATCAGTGTACATAATTTACATATTTGTTTATCGATAATTTGACCATAATTTAATTTATTTGTTTGTATAGATATTTGCTACATGTCTATTTATTGAGATTAAATTTAAAAAATATATCACTAAGTATTATATTCAAATTGTTTATTTTTCATGAATTGTTTCATTTCTTCCATGTTATGATAGAAATTGCTTAATATATGATATGATATGATTTTATGTTATTTGTAAAAAATAGAATACCTATATTAGGTACAATAAATTTCTTTTCAGCTCCTAGAGCATAAGTACTTAAGATTTTTTTGGGGAGGAGGAGAGGAGTTCGAATAAATAAAATTAATAATTAAAACAATTAGTTTGAGCCAAAATTCTGGGATATTGAAAAAAATGTACGTATAAATCATTCGGGGTACTTAAGTTCCTTGAGTGGGCATTTGTTCGTCTCCCTCACCCCCTCCCTCAAAATACAGTTAAGTCGGATACGCCACCGGTACCATATTACAATAATATTATTGGAGCAGCAGAATATTACCACGTCTATATTATACACGATATTATACGGTTGCGACAGCCTTGTTTATGTGGGACAGCTGCAACGTGAACAAAAAAAGGAAAAAAAAGAAACGGAGCGAATCTATCGTGTGTGCGGGCGCGAGCGTGTGTGTTTGCACAGCTTTCGTCATACCGAAGAGTGGTTCTGGGGGAGGGGAAACGTTTAAAAAACACAACGAAAACAAAAAACCGTTATCGTGATAAAAAAAACGTATCCGTTTCGGCGTACGCCTCCGCGACGAGCGCGACCGGGCATCCGGTCCGGTCCGGCCCGACGTGCCGCGCGGGGACAGTTTTTATAGACTCTGGCTTTGAACTTAACTAGGCTCCGAAAGCGGCATTTGTTTTTTTTTTTATTTCCATATGAAAAAAAAAAAAATATTGGTACAACCGAAATTCGAAACAATTCGTGTAGTGAACGGTAACCGCAGCGGTTCCGGGGCGGCCGTAAAAATCAGCCCGGGCGGAATGAAAAATGGACCGGACCAACAGGAGAGGCGGCGCGGCGACCAACAGGTTAGTGTTGCGGTCGGAGCGGTTCGCGCGAGGTGCTGAGCGCCGCGTCGGCTGCCCGATGGCGGCGCTCGTCGTCGTCGTCGTCGCCGCCGCCGCCGCCGCCGTCGCCGCCGTCGCCGGGCGGAGTCGCGTGTGCGCGCGGCCCTCGCGGCTCTCCGAAAATCAATAGCACAACACCACGGGCTCGCCCGGCAATGTTGGTACAATATTGCATGGGTAGTCCTTGTTTTTTTTTTTTTTTTTTCCATGTAGGGGCGGTGGCGGGGGTTTCCACACTCCGCGTTTCCCGTTCGTGTATACACATTCCGGTCCGCGCGACACGCGCGCCCGCGAATCCCGGGCTCTGCCTTCGTCCCGAGTCCGCTTCCGGATCGTCGCGTTTTTCGGTACGCGCATACATTACGTATACAGCCGTGTGTCGCGCACGTATTACGGTACACGGCGTTTTGTATACGTCGCCCGCGGTACACGTCAAACGTACGGCCCGGTCGAGCGGGGGGTGTGGGGGGGGGGGGGTGGTGGGCGAGTGGAAACGCCGCGCCGTAGGTACACGCGAATATTAGCGCGAGCGCCGCGGTCTCGCGACACCAGGCGGCGCCCCGCACTCGCCCAGACGCACCAGTCGACGCGCGACCGTATCGATTAGGCTTTTGATCTGCTCCTTTTTCGCCTGTTTGTCGGCGTAAAAGCGTATATACTTATACACTGTGCGTGCGCGTGTGCGTGTGGGTGTGTGTGTGTGTGTGTGTGTGTGCGTGCGTTTTATTTCCGTTTGGTGCGTGTGTAAAGCGCGCGCGTGTGTGTGTGTGTGTGTTCGTGCGCGCACTCGCGTATTTGTATATTTCCGGGACTTCAGATCGTCTCTCGTCGAACGTCCGCCGCCGACGACAAACGCCTAAACGACGACGCTCCGACCGTAATAAAATTATTTATTTTATCGTTTAGACCGGATCGAAGTTCGAGCGGCCAACCCGACGGCGAGCGAAACGCGACTGTGCAGCAATAGTCGCGGTCGTCGAGTACACAACAACGCGCCGAGGTGAGGGTAACATTATAGTATTATAATACAATTTTACACGTATTTATTATCGCCCTCGCGCAACGCAATAATAATAATAATATTATTATCGGATCGCGCGCCGCGATAGCCGAAAATGGCCGGTCAGGACGGTAAATGGCAAAAGGAAAACTCCGACCAGAACTTCGACTACATGTTCAAGTTGCTGATCATCGGCAACAGCAGCGTGGGCAAAACGTCGTTCCTGTTCCGGTACGCCGACGACAGTTTCACGTCGGCGTTCGTGTCCACGGTCGGCATCGACTTCAAAGTGAAAACCGTATTCAGACACGACAAACGTGTCAAACTTCAGATATGGGTGAGTACGACCAATGACATAGATTATATTTTACACGTGCGGGAGGGGAAAGCACCTGTGTTGCAAACGGCTCGCGGAAATTATTGTGCGGCCGTGATAATATTGTGTAAACTCGTGTGTTACCGTCCGCCCCTTTTTCCGCAGGACACGGCCGGCCAGGAACGTTACCGAACCATCACGACGGCGTATTACAGGGGAGCCATGGGATTCATACTCATGTACGACATTACCAACGAGGAGTCTTTCAACAGCGTGCAGGACTGGTGAGTTCGGGCTATTGAAACACCGCGTTGAAATACGTGACCCGGTGCGGCCCGCCCGGCGGTCGCATCCGACGATTGTAATATTGCAGGGAACCCCCCTCGAAACGGTCGTCGTTACGTATTTCGATACCGGCGACGACGATAACATTATTTTGCTGCCGGTGTATTATTGTCTGGTAATCGCATCGGCCATTGCAGGGTGACGCAGATCAAGACGTACTCGTGGGACAACGCGCAGGTGATACTGGTGGGCAACAAGTGCGACATGGAACACGAACGCGTGATATCGTACGAGCGGGGCAAATCGCTGGCCGACGAGCTGAGCATTGAATTTTTCGAAACGTCCGCCAAAGACAACCACAACGTCAAGGTGGGTTTCCGGTCGATGCGCGTACTGTGCGGCTATTAGATTTCAATCGTAAATATTCTCGATTGGTTTCCCGTAAAAACCTGATCGTAAAAAAAAAAAAAAAGCGAAAAAACGACGTCGTCTTTTCAATATTAAAAACGATATTCGCACTTTTACAACGTACCTAGGCGGCATATTACGGTATATCTCTTGAACCCTCCCTCCCCCCCCTACCGTCTCGGGAAAGCGGGGTTTTCATCCGTTTTCGCGACTCCGGGGCCGCCGGTTTTATCGCCCACCGCGCGATCAGCTGACGTCGGGAAATGATAAATTAATTTACGATCTTGCTAGTTGCGACGACGCGTGATGTCGGTATCGCAGTGTGATACGACATAATATAAGGGAACGCGTAACTCTGTGTACAGGGTGCGATTATTTTCTCGCGGACCTTCGCGGATTCTCGTGTACACGCCAATAGATTTTGAGCAGATTTGATCCGAGAATTTTTATTTTTCAATCTGTACACGGAATCGTTTATCACGGAAGCGTATGCATAGAAGAGCAAACGCAAAAATTATTTTTACTCTTTTTAGTGAACGTTATACAGCCCGGGTTTTTATGCGAAAACGTATTTTTATCGAATGTATGCTGTTTGCCGGGAGTGAGAAATAAAAAAAAAAAAAAATTCCTTTCCCATATTAGTGCATATAAGTATTTTTACCTTAGAGAATATTTCAGAATATTTTGACATACTTCTGATAAATTGGATTATATTGGAAAATAATTTCGAGTTTAAAGTTTAGTTTTAATTTTTAGTCATCGTTACTCGTTTACTAATATGATCACTAGGGTTCGGGACTTGTTTCACTAAAAATTATTAGAATATGCAGTCAAAATCGTCAAAATATGCAGGCAATTTTCCACTTTGCCTTTTTACGCCAATTATTATAATAATTATAGAAATAAAAATCTCAAAAATAGATAAGTAGATAGAAAATAAAAATCGTCGATAACAAAAATGATTACTAATAGATAAAAACAAAGAGATATATACCTACGACCTACCTGCCCAATGTAATTTATTAAACGTACATTTTTTAATGTTATCCAAATACGATTTACCCGACAATTTTAGTTATATAAAAATTAAAAAACATGCGAAATATGGTAAAAATTGTACAAATATACACTTTTCCTAAAATATGCGGAAATATGCAAATTCAAACTTTGTATTTAATTTCGGTATTTCATAAAACAAATTTATAGCTTACCTAGGATAATCTACGACCGCTAAAAAAAAACATGCAAATGCAAGAAATCCCGAACCTTTATGATCACTGACCATATTGTACAAACAATATTTTCAAAGTGCGTGTTATGTTAATGTTACAATGAATAATTCATAATTACACGTAATTATTATGTGTATGATGCGATTAACAGAATTTGTAAGGGTGAAATTCACCAAATATAATGTATATGTATTTTCCTAGTTTTTCCTGATTGTTTCCATTTATTATGAAAACTTTTGGCAAAATTAAAAATTTTCCTTTCAGAAAAAGTGATAAACTTGAAAATCAGAGCAAAACTTCTGGTAGAAAAGTTTTTCACGGATGAAAACAAATAAACATCATTGTAAAAAAAATATATTTCTCGGTCCGCTTAGAATCTAAAAACAAAATATTTTTATGTATAATCGTAGATCAATGATAAAATAACCACTCTGTATACGACGCTATACGTACATTTGTACAATGTATATATACGAAACAATGTATTTTTGATTATTTCTTTTAAGTCGGTCTTGATAAATGAGTTCGTACGTATTCCTCGCATGAGGGTTTTTAAACAGTAATTTAACGATGAGACGACGACGTGTTCCTGTCAGTGTGTGTGTGTGTGTTTCTTTGACGTGGGTTCTCTTTTTTTCATCGATAAAATGTAGTTTTTTTTTTTTTTTTTTTTTGTGATAAATTAATTTTAAAACAAAATCGCATCCACACTGCAGCAAAGAATAATCCAAAGCAATCGAAACGCTGATATAATAAAAATTGTTGATTTAATTTACCACAAATTCACATCCGCGCCGTTTCTGTCGTTAAAATATCAAAATCTAAATTCTGATTCGCCAGTGTTTCACAACCATCTGTTTTGCTGTTCGAAAAATGATTTATAACTTTTTTTTTTTTGGTTTTACTGATCATGTACAATAATAAGTAAAAATACCTAGTAAATATAATGTAACATAATATAAATAGGTATTTCTGGTGTTATTATGGTGTGATTGTTGAAATAATAATTGATTTTTTATTTGATAAATTATTCTTCCATATCTGGTTTCGTTTTAAAAAAATATCACTCCTCTCGAGGGTGCACATCCCTCCTCGGGTTGTGAAACACTGTAATTAACAGTGGAAATCAACCAGTGAGACGGTGACCCATATAAATTTGAAATAGGGAAACAATTTTGCAACGTCGCAGCGGGTGTGTCACGATCGCGGAGATAATAATGTAAATCCGACCACGTGCCGAAATTGCGCTCTTGAGGAATTTTATATTTTTTGTTTTATAAATTTGACAACGGTATTTCGATTTTTTTTTTTTTTTTCTGTTATATTCCAACGAATACTACGATAAAATTTGAATAATTCAATTTTAAAACACTTAAAGCAGAATATTACAGTACAGAACGCTCTTATAGTTTTACTATAGAAACGTTTTACGCAAATTAAACGACTTTACGTGAGTCGGTTGCGTAAACAATACTATTACATCGTACAAAACGGGCGAAATTTTATTAACGTTGTACAACACAATAAGCAAAATAGATTTTCGGATCAAAACTTCTTTAACAACAATAATAATTACATAGTTGCCGCAGCATTTTTAATTGCTGTTTTTTCACAAAGATATATATGATCGACTGGTCAAACGGTTTTAATTGAAAATGCTCTCCCTCGGAGGGTTTACAGACATTTTGTATTTTATTACATTACATTTCCAAGCAAAAGGCTAGTGAAAACCGTTATACTTATCACGGCGATCACTACTTTTTTTTTCTTTTTTTCCCCCCTTAATCATACACTTTTTTCTACCTAACCGGACGGTCGGTTTACTATATAGGGTTCTAAAAAATCGGTTAATGTCTGTCCACCTTAAACTTATCTCCGGAAATACAATATGAATAATCATTAACCCTCAACAAATTCTCGTTTAATTTCCATTAGAATGACCTACATTTTATATTCCAACGTTTTACGTATTTTACTTAGCAAATCGGAAAATCTTGAACCTTTCGGCGCGTGAAGGTCAAATTAAATATCGCAAATCGCTATCATAAAATTGACCTCGTGCCTACGAAGATACGACTTTCGCGCAAAATTTCAAGTTTCTGTGTCCAAAGATCGCACAAACACTTCTATATATCTACATAGACAATGCGGTAACTAGACATTTAAGCGCTCAAGTACTGTAAGTAAAATTCGTGGTACCCCTAAGGACTTTTCATTACGTTACGTTATCACAATCAATCACTATAAATATGTCTTTGACAATTAAAATGATTAGCTATAAAATAAAAATAATCGACCGAGAAAACGGACGCATTTCAATGGGGAAAAAATGTAAATACATAATATGTTATGTTGAACACGATCAGTGGCGTAGAGCATTTTTTATTTTATAAACGGTCTATGATTTGTCAATATGCTTACCACCACCGCTCTTATGAACAAATCAGTAATAAATTGTTATTCGTTTTTTACTTCAAATTCACTGTTCTATAATTATCTACTGCAGCGTCATACCTTCGACCGCCCACGATTCACAACGATTCACATAACCCGCCCATCAATATTTTGGTTGAGGCGCATTAATCGCAACTACATCACTGCAAGACACGATTATATTTTTCGTTTACCTATAGTAATATGGTATATATTTGTAATTCCACAGGCCGTTTTTGAACGACTCGTGGATATTATATGCGACAAGATGTCCGAGAGCTTGGACTCGGACCCGACACTGGTGGCCGGCGCCAAAGGGACCAGACTCACCGAGCAGCCTCAGGGTCCGAACAATCAGAATTGCAACTGTTAAACGACAAATGTCTGCGTTTCACCGTCCGCAGAAACTATTCAAACAACGAAAACCCGTTAAAGCATTACACACACATATGTACACACACACAAACACACCAAAAAAATTAACACAAAACAATTTCCAAAAAATAATTTTAAAAATGCAATAATCGTCGACAACAGGTCATTTTAAACATATTATTATTATTATTATTATTATTATTATTATAACTATAGGCAGGCCGCGAAGAACGAGTTCTTAAATGTATTATTATATTTAGAGCTATTTACCTCCCGTTTTTACAAATAACAAATTATGTAGAGTGGTGTTTGTTATTTTATTTTTTTTTCTCTGAACGCGAAAAATGGCTATACAATCATACGTAATATATAATATATACATCGTGGATTGGTTCCCGTATAATCTAAAAAATAATATTATTTTATTAAAAAAAAAAAAAAAAAACTACACTCATCGAATATTCTATACCCCGGACAATAAAAACGATTTGTTTTATTCTTCTTCGTTTTTCTTGTCGAGTTATTTATTGATTGTAGCGCACTATATACTACATATATATATATATATATATATATATAATTTACGATAAGTTTTTATTCATGTAAGTAATATCTAGTTCCGTGCGATGTAAACGTAAATTATATATTGTGTATCGGCGAATCTCGCGAGATCCGTGCGCATATTGAAATTTGTTTTGAAAAAAAAAAAAAAGTAAAGTAAAGTTTAAAAAAAACAATAGTGAATTCTGCGACAGATATTGCGAGTTGGACGAAAAAAAATAACCCCCCCCTCCCGTAACATTATCAATGACTTTTGATCGCGTGCTTCGCGAACGAACCACTCGATGTACGAGCAGGTACTTAAAAATCAAAATCGAGTTGACGTAGTTTTTTTTAAATTCGGAGCGTATTATTATTATTTTTTTTTTTTTTTGTCGTTGTCGTCGCGATGTTCGCCTCCTCATAATAATAATATAGATTGCTCTGTCGATATAAAAATAATAATAATAATTTATATAATATAACGTTTAGTATACGTCCGTTTTTTTTTCTTTTCCGTGTTTTTTTTTTTTTTTTCAGGGCGTTTTACCGATATGACCGATTCTGCCTATAATGCATTTGTATTGCGTATTTATCATTTCCGATTATACATTACTATATCACCAGTGCCGTGCCTCTGGGCTTTCCGACGGTTATGTGGCGAATAAAAATCACGAATGAATCGTTTACATTCGTGTTCTCTAAAATACTTGACTCGACTACGGAAATTTATACAAGCCCGATCCAAAAGATCCGATTTTTAATCAATAATAAATCAAACTATTCCTTTCAACTTGTTGGCTGAAATATTATCAACACTCGTAGTTGTTGTATTCTTAAGTCAATTGAATAAGGGGAGGGAGGTGTTACCCATAACCTCCCCTTCTTGCGTACGCCACCAATTATCGCGTAGAGTGCTGGTATCGCGTCCGAATTACACTCTAAAACCACATCACATACACAAAAGAAATCCGGATGTTCGAATTGTCGCATTTACCTTTACCTTAAAACGAGGTCTGCCCGAATTGCATCGACTAAAAACTTTACGACATTTACAGTATTCTCGCTTATTTATGCTACAGATTTGTACACGGGGCTGACAGTGAATAATGACGTACCTATAATTATCGTGTTATTCTACACACACCTATACTGCCACTATTGCGCGGTTGGGGTTGGGTTTTTAAAAAAAATATGTTACATTTTTGACTATATAGTACCAGTTAAACGCGTTATATAACGAAAAAAAAAACGCATTTTAGAGAGGAACATTTTCTATTGAACGATATAGTTTGACAATATTTCATATACCTATTATAGTCAGCAAACGCGGTTTTTTTTTTTCTTTAACAATGGCGTTTAATTCGAACATTTTTTTTTTTACCTATATTATGCGTGTTTGCGTTCGCCCGAATTTTATACGCGTACCTCTACCTATATATTTTATTATAATACTCTGTCGCAGACCATTCCTGTTCCGCGCTCTACTCGGCGTGTATAATAGGTACATGTTATAATTATATTTAGTGTGTTCGACTACTTATATTATACTTGTTGTACTACTACTTCTACTATAATATAATATTATCTAATAATAATTAATATAAAATAATCGTAAATACCTACAATAATTATAATATTGTAAAGAAATATTATAACGAATAGGTATTTTTAATATATATATATATCAATATAATACCGCGTACTTACGTGTAAAAAACAAAAAAAAATAAAAAAATAAAAAAAAATAATAATTTTCTAGTCTAACGATAACGTTATATTGTGTTGAACAATACGCGCGCACTATATATTATAATATTATGATTACAATAAATAGTCTGTACGTGTGTCTCGTCAAGTTTAGTAATATTATTACGATGATTAGTATTTTTAATATAAAATAATAAATATAATATATTATTACGTTTAGTTAGTACTTATAGGGTTATAATAATTATTATTATTATCGATGTTCGTTTGGTCTTGATGTTTTTTTTTTTTTTTTTTTTTTTTTGTTGAAATACGATAGAATAATTTAACCGTAAAGAAAAAAAAAAATTTAATGATATTTAAAACTACCTATATTATAAATTGGCCAGGACCATTTTCCTTCAAAAATGAGCGATCGTTTTCTTTCACTGTCTGTGTTATTTTTTACGAGAAAAAAAAAGTACTATCCATTTTCCTCCTACAAATTTCTTTAGACTAAAATCATCAGAAAAAATTGTATCCATGTAAAGTCTCAACGTCTGTAATACAATATATTATAGTAACTACTAAGGTTTATTACAGCTGTATTGCAGCTATCGGTGACGTATAGAGAAATCAATACAAATGTAGTTCTGAAGAAAAGTGTTTAGCTATTATACCTTTGTTACCCTTTTGTTTCGAAGAAAATGGACACGGTGGAATTCAACAGTGTCTCATTTTTGTAGGAAAATGGTGACGGCCATATTAGTATCAATTATGTCATTTCGCATTACACGCTCTACCTATAAGGCTATACAACAACGTTGACGTGTATATATATATAATATTATTATTATACATACGTATTTGTTTATATATTATTTTTAATTCTTTTTGATTATGTGCGATTAATTACGTAATATTATTCTTATCATTATTATCATTACAAATTAATTATTAATATCATAGGTCATTATTATTATTATTAATATTATTTCATGTATAGATAAAAATTATTGAAAATAAAAACTATCAAACTGAAATCGTATTTCACATAATAATAACTTGTTTTTTTTTTTTTTATTAAAAATGGTTATATATATTATTATGTATTGCTATGTGCTGTAGTAGAACGTGCAAAGAATCAACGACCAAAAGTCAGATCATTTGTTTTAAGACATTCTATGCCGAAATTAACACCACAGTATAGAATAAAAGTGTCCACTAGAAAATACATTGTATATGATTGAATTAGTAGGTCTTTTAACAAATTATTGTTGTATTTTATAAAGTAAATATTCTCACTAGTGTGAAGAGGAATAAAGCCCACAAGAAGATTCGTTTTATCTGCTTACGAAACTTGTTCAATGGGGCTTTTTATATGATCGGGGAGTAGACAAGTAGTGGATTTTTACAGAAAAAATGTCCTGCTAAAGGTGACGGGACAAAACTTATTGATCTTTGAAACAAAGTTTATTAAAGAAGATTGTATCTAGGCATGTAATAATAACGCAAGCAAACGCGAAACGGGTATAAAAGAAAATATAAAAGGAAAATCAATGTGGATATATGTCAATTGTGTCACGATATTATGACATTCCTTGTCAAAAGATTATAAGAACGATGCGTTGGGTACATTTTACGAGCTAAGAAAAGTTTGACGACATGAGTGTAGCTATTTATAGTTAGAAACCCAAGTAAGATACGATCCCGAGAATGGCCACGTCAACGTTATTGGCTAAATTGAGTTAGGAAAAATATCACCAGAGATGAATATGGGATTTTTCATTTGGAGGGCCGAGAATTTTAATGAAAGAAATTATTACAAATAATTTCTAATTGCTTAGGTTTTTGTCTCAGCATATCGGAATGGCTTCGTGTCCTCGTCAAAGGTGTATAACCGGACCATTTGCCACTATCGCCAAATTAAAAATTGTTTTAAATAAAAAGACAATGGGATGGAGGTTTAATTTCCCGAACTCCTTCCTTTTTGCGTGTACGCCACTCGATAGTTCCAGGGATAAATGAATAAAGCTGCAAGTTTGAAAGAATATAAAGGATAACAAACGATCAAATAAATGAAATGATTTCGTCGAAGCAGAAAAATGCCTATACAAGGTCTGTAGAAGCTAGAAAACATATAAATTAATATGCATAGGTACACTTGTTTTATATTTTTTTCCCCCTTTTATACGGACGTGCAAAACAGTATTCACCGTGTGTATTCAATTAATGTTCAAATAAATAAAAATGGGGGTTTATTTTTATCAATCAATATGTAAATATTACTATAGTGTCAACAATAATATACAACGCCATGGAAGGATAATTTCATGTAGAAAATAAATCGTTTAATAATTTTTTTATCAAGCTATTATTTTATTTTTGTGAACGGTTTTCATTATAGTTATAATACAACATCTCCATACCCTATACACCGTAATAAATAAACGGTATATATGCACAGGTAATAAATAATAGTATTATATATTATTATGTAAACGACTCGAACAACGGTACAAGTGGAAATGTCTGGGTTCAACAACACTGCAGCAGCACCACGAAAATAATGTTTTCTTTCCATTTTCTCTTGATATACTGCATACTCATGGATATTGCAGTATTATTCGAAAATCGGCTCTCTTGAAAACGTACATTTATTGAAATTGATGATTTTTAAAAAACATTTCAAATAGCTAATACACATTTTGTGTTTCGCTGAGTTTTATTTTACAACGCGAGTAAATCCGAAATATTAAATGTATTTATTATGTGCGAGATGCACATCGGCAAAATAAATAAATAAAAATTGAGGGGAAAAAAACGGCATTATCAAAATATATATATTTATATATTTTATATGGTTGGCCGGACAAAGGTTGTCTGGAACCGAGAAAATTATTGATCCACGAGCTATCATATTAGAATGAGAAAATATTGTATACTTGCGGTCACGATTCGCAACACACTATCGAAATGAGTAATGCAAGGCGGACGTGAGTATAATTGTCTTTATGATAACGGAAGATTTCAGTGTATACACAGTGTATCTGTAGAAATTGACAATTATTTACGTGATTTCATGTAAGAAATAACCATTTACAATTCAACTTGTTTAGGCAAGCTAGACGAATGCCGACGATCGAACGCTAGCAACTTTCTGACGATTTGCGATCGGCGGTTGTAGACGCCTTGATAATATTATTATCGTATCAGTTGACAATTTTTAATATTATATATAACAAATTATCGTTATCAGTATTGTTTTGCCATTTGAGATATTTTGTTAATCGAGTATTCGAGTCATATCGAACGTAAATAATTTATATTTATCGCCATTATGATAATTCGTACGAAAATATTCGTATAAACCAAAAAAAAAAATAAAATAATGTAATATAACAATGAAATCGTAAATCACATAAAAGTGAATCTCTTTCGAAGCCGTTGGCCAGAGTTCATCGATAGGCAAGTAATCAAGCGGGTTCCAGACAAATTGACCCACTCTCCCTCCAAAAAAAGAAAAAAATCCTGGCTATTTGCTACGTGCCTGTTCATCCCGTATTATCAAACAATTATTTCCCAGAATTCTATTTTCAAACGTGCAACCAGATATTTGAATGATGGGTAATTATGTCAATAATGACTCGCAAATATATTTCCGGATCAAAATATTATTGACGTCGGTCATCTATGAGGAGTCTCATCGTCGTTCACTCTATCTGTCTCACGCGTAGTATTATCTCTCGAGATATTTGTATTTTAATTTTAATTAATAATTCGAATAGGTATAGTGGATACATATGTGAGTACCTATAAAAACCTGGTACGTATATGGTTGGGATATATGAATCTGAAATGTACAAATATGGAATCGATCGAAAATAATCCCCAAACTGGCCAAACTCAGCTGCAGTATTCGCAGCTGATTTCGTCATTTAGTGGATTTTTACATTAGGTAATTCGTAGAACAAATTTTTATCGAACTACTTTGAAATAATTCGTTTGGGCGATATCTTTTGTTAGTATATATGTATATTATAATATAATTGTACCCGTGACCTAATTATTGTTGTATAAAATGGAAACCTACATTTAAATATCGCGGTGAGACCATTCATTTTTAATCGCTCGTTATTGTTGATAAGACGAAATACGTAAATGTGTTAAGCCCGACCCACGCGATGATAGTGACAATCACAGAGGCTACGTATACTTACAATAATAGACTATAATGATAGTTAAAGATAGTTAAAGATAGATAGTAGTTGTCTGTGAAAGTGTGATACGACAGTAAAATAGAACGATGGTTGACAGTTACAATCGCTCACGCAGTCTCACAATAGTAACAACTAGTGTAGGCCATGGTGACTGTGCCGCGAACGCAGCCGGAATCCCCCCCTCCCCAATCGTGTTTACGGTCTGGGATCCCCTTAGACCCGAAAATTTATAAAAAAAAAACATTATCATTCAACTATTGGCTGTCTTTTGTGCAGAGATTAAAATATATACGCAATATTGTTTAAACTTTAGTTGATTATTGCACACTGTAATAAAAAACAATAAAATATAATCATGTGTTAATAGTAATTAAGTGCGCAAGTAAATGTATACACAAATTACTTAAAATTGAAATTCGCTAAATATCGCTTTTTGAACTTCACCATATTACAATATTATAATACACCTGCCCGCATCACCGCAAAATCTGTTGTTATTTTTAGAAATATTATCGATCTATGACATTGACTTCCGTCCCAATATAGCGCTGATTTTCAGGCTTTTGGTGTTTAAGACCACTGGTAAATACCATCATGTGGAAGATACGTTACCTTAACACCCGTACTTTATTTACGACCAGGTATTATACCAACCGAAATTGCGTTAGCGTATAAGTTAATTATTATAAAAAGTTTTATTCGAGATTTATTATTTGCATCTGTTTGGTTATTAGATACCTATGTTTTTTTTTTTTTTTAATAATTTCTGATCATTATTATTATTATTATTTATTTTACCTGTATAATTTTGTATAATCGAACATTTAATTTTTCTCCTACGAACATTCTGTGAACTTGTTCATTAAAAATGCATTATACAGATTGTCATTCGTGAACCACCACGTTTTTTACTTTTCAAAACCATAATGATATAGGTCGTAAATGCTAGTAATAATAATAATGTCGATCAAATACTGCTGATAAAGTAAAAATAAAAAATAAAAATAAACGACGTTAACGTATAAACAAAATAATTTCGATGAGAAAAAAACAAAAACTTTAATACGTCCGTTCTCATATATTTAAAATAAACGCTACACGTGCATTAATTGATGTTTTTGTATAACTACAAACGCGCGACATAGCGAATGCTAAATTTGCATTCAGTAGAACCAATGGTGTGATTTTAATTTTAATATTAGATTGTATCAATGACGTAGCGAGGAGAAGGGGGTGTTGTAGGTGTAGCAACACTCCCCCTTGACTGTGTTTATTTATTATGGATGGATATACAATAAAATCATAAATTATTTTATAATATGGCCATATATAACTATGTAAATTGCATTAAAATGTTTGTACTTAAAAAAAATTATAACGTCAAATAGATTACTGATTACTGATGTTACGAACTGTGGTTTATAGTTATTTGTTAACCATAACTATTGATATAATTGACAACGATTTCTATTTTTCCACCGAAAAAGATACAAAATATATTGTTATCTATCTCGGTGAATTTCCTTAAAAAGGCGTGATATTGCAGTAAGTATCCGTATATATTATCTCCGTAGTCAATCTTACAAACGTACTGTTGTAAGGTGAATGGTGCCGTTTTCTAATAAGCATAAAACGGCAATACAATAGATCAAACGACAAAATTTGAAGTACGTCAAGAAAGGATCGTATAAAAGTTATATAGTTTATTCATCTTTAAGGTTACTAATTAACATTCTATTGATATAAACATGTAAGACATAGAAAATTTGCATTCAGCAGAGACAATATTGTGCTGTTAATTTTAATACTAGACTGAATTATTACCTAACATTACTATGGTTAGGAACTTCTATCATTGGCATAATAATATTTTTAAAATATTAAAAAATAGCTAAGTCAAACATAAATCCTAACTTTTGTTTTGCATATTTTACAGTAGTTAAGGGCTATAAAACGACACACACATGAGTGTATCGTATCTTATCTTATTGTATACGCTTTTTTCGATTTACCTACATAGTTCAAATTCATACGCCCCCACCCCAATATTTTATCTAGTTCTATTCATTACTGAAATATCGCAAAATATTGTTGACGATTGACGAAATATTTTAAAACAGCCTTGAAAATTTTTATCATGGATTAATAATTGGAGATTACAAAACGATAATAATATTAGGTTTATGTGTAATACACGAATATATTGTGAATATAAGAATATACAAAATTAATTAAACTGATATGGGAAATTACTCAGTAAATGTAAATGTTAAATTAGTTTTAATTTATTCAGTCAAATCGTTTATACTTTATTCCTGTTATAATTTTATTATAATCAAAAATTTAAGTACAATCCTAGGATTGTTTTTTACAAGAAAATTACCACTTATAAGATTTTGAGGTATATTATAATCTGGTACGAATTCGTGATGAAACTATATGAATATTCGTGGAGAAAAAGTATGGCCAGGAGTCAGGACATCCCTAAAAATAGGCCAAAATACGCCACTGATTATTTAGTTAGATTAATAAATCTGAAATAGTTCATCTTAAAATACAACTTTTTTCGTAAATATCAATAATAATGAAAAAACTAAAATCTATAAATTAGTTATATGTTAGGCTTTTAGTATACATTGCAATAAAAAATATTTTTTAGAGCATATTTTAGTCCATATTTGCATGTTTTTTATTTCTAAAAGTCTCTATGTATATCCATTAGTCATTACCAAACTAAAAGACAAAAACATAATCTGGGTAACATTGGTTTTTTCGATATTTTAACTTTCAATCAAGATATATGAGTTTGGTGCATGTGATACCGTAATTTAATAATGCTTATGGAAATTAAAATGTAGAAAAATAGCACCAATGTTGTATAGATAATGTTCTTATCTTTAAGTTCGGTAATAGACCAATTCACTCCAATAGCGCAGAGTTGTTCACGCAGAATGCTAATACGTTATGCCGTTGCACGTCCAATTGAATGTTAAACTAATGGATAGTAATAATTAAAACGATTTTGCATTTTTTATAACACCTCCCTTTGTAAATTGCTGTCTACGTACGTGGATTGTATGGACCAATTATCAAACTTAAGAGGACGTGCTATTTTCCGCATTTAAAGGGTTATGTATAGGCAATTTACTTAAAATTATCAGATATTTAAACAATAAAAACATTTTTGTATTAATAATAACGAACAAACAATAACAACGGTGTGCAATGTACAAGTTTTCCTTTTGATTTCTTAATTAAGTCTATAGCCTGAATATTTTTTTTTTCCATGCAAATCAATTTTTACAATTTAATCGGGTGGCATACATGCCATCTTAATTATTGGTAAGAAAATTATCTGTGCCTATGTATAGTACATCGGTTTTTCGATATTTTAATTTTGAAACGACACATGAGCATTTTATGAATTTAAAAAAAGCATTAATAATAATACAAAACAAAATGTATAAAGTACAATAATGTACGTACTACGCACTATATTTTATTTTATTTGCTCTCGAAAAGTTCATCGGCATAATATTATGCGCTGTTCAGCTAATACTTACGTAACGCAATACGCATTTATAAAATATTATACATATTCCGACTTCCGTCACTGCAAGGGTTTTACATTTTTACAGATTTATGGGACATTAGATTTCGCGAAGGGCCTCGGAACTACAATGTATTGTTATTATGTAATAGGTATTATTTTGTTGCACAGTGCGGTAGGTACGCCATCAGAGCGCATATTCCCGGTCCATCGATTTTGTCGCCGAAAACGTTCAGCGGCGCGCTATCGAATACCGGCGCGATAGAGTGCCTATGTGTCTTTATTTTAATATGTAAACTATTATTTATCCGTTCAGACCTTTTACCAGCGGAATCACCGGATTTAGTGGACAAAATGCGGTAACACCAAGAGCGATCGTAGTATTTTTTTTTTTTATAACTTTAAAAACAGATCAAATACTTTATAAGCAACGGAACACTGGTATAGACGAACTGACAAACAATTTCTTATATCATTCCGTTAAGGTTGTGAATAATTTGCCCAATTTGTTTTACTCCTTCTTTAAAAACTTAACTATATTTTTTTATAAATATTCTTTAATCCAACTATATAAAAATAAATGTTCCACATGTTTTTAACTTTGAAAAGTATTATATCTATATAATTGAACAACCGACAAATTATAATCTTATCAATAACGACGAAATGATAACGTTACTAAAAATTATACAGAACACGTTTGAATTCTACTATAATTTAGTTTAGTTCGTGTATACGTGTGTACTATGTATGTGATTACAATATTGCGGTTGGTCTATTGAAAACATTTTTTTATAGATATTTTATTATTTTAAATTCTGAGAGGAGCGGAGAATTTAATAGTTTTACAAAGATATTTTTTTTTCTGTGGACAACTTTTCAACCAGAGGTTAAACTTATTAAACTCTTATTTTCAAGTGTAACACCTTTTCTGAAATAAAATCGGTGTGTGGAGATATTTTAAGGTGGTCAATTTTTGATTTTCTTGAGAGTTTTCTCATCAGATTTGAAAGCCGAAAAAATACGAGAAAATATAAGAAATATAGGTATTAGTTAAAATATATTACGGCCTTCTTTTTTTCTGTGCACAACTTTTCTACCAACAATTTTGTTCCAACTTATATTAATAGCAATGTTTTTAAAAGAAAATTTCACTAGAAAGGTACTTTAGAGAGGTCATTTTTCGATTTTCTCAAGAGTTTTTCCAGCAAATGTAAAAAACCGGGATAAACGAAAAGAAAACTGGAAATATAGGTAACACATTAAACAAATATTGTTAAAGAATATTATTAAAGCCTATTTAATTATTTTACTATAAAATGATATATATTGTTGACAATATCTACTGAACTCCGCACAGAATCGTTTTTTTCATAAGCAATGGTTTATCGTTGCTTACAAGTATACATTAAATTACCTATAACATTTTATTTCTTGAAATTTATTGTGCATGTGTATGCTATTGCCATTCTTACTATTATTTTTTCATTTTTTTGCGATAACATTACACGATGTTATACATCATTCATACTTACCGTGCTTGTCTACATCGTCAAGGTAAAAAGATTAGGTTGAGCCGCTGAGTAAAAGAAACGCCTAAGGCGTGCGAATAAAGTTGGTTCAAAAGAGTGTTCCCAGAAGCATCTCAAACTAAAGTCTAAAAAGGGATTTACAAGAATTTAAGATAATAAAGCAATAACGAATTCCAAAAACGGAAAAAATTTAAAATATCATTTTTTAGGGGATAATCTTTTTTTATAAAATAAAACTAGGATTGTAGATTTAGGAAGATTTTGAGACGGTACTAAAGTTAGTTTAAGGTGTTTTTTAGCTTACCTATAGCTTACCAGGATGAAAATAGTAATTTGATGTAAAATGTTTAAAGCAAACTTAAACAATTTTTTTTACTTAATGACTCTTTTGATAATTTTTAAGTGATGGCTCTTATACGCTGACGGTTAACAAATTCTTCAAAGCCAGTTTTATTTCAACACAATATTTTAGGTTCATTTGCATTTGGCAAAAGGTGAAAACTTATACATTTCTCTTCAGAGTAATAAGTTTTACACCTAAATACAGAACAGTAGTTTTTACTTTTCTTTTTAGAATTAATTTATTAAATGTGAACAGGACTTTATTTTACAATCTGTTTGACTCTGTGATAGAGTTCCTGGAAAACAAAAACACAGGTCTTTGCGATAACCTCATCACATCAAAGAATGATATTGCGTACTTGACAGATCTCAATAAGTTATATAACGATGTCAATCTCCAGCTTCAAGGTGACAACTTGAACTTGATTAAAACAAAAACCTATTATATTGCTACATTCGTTTCCAAATTGCTACTATACAAGAAAAATATTCGTAGACGTGAATTTAATAGCTTTTCTAATTTAACAACAGCACATTTCATTTACGACAACTTGGTTGTTTACTGTCAACACGTGGAGAACCTCCACATTGATTTCAAAGAACGATTCCTGGACATTTTAAACATGAACTTACTAGACTGGGTATTAGATTCTTTATCAAATACCAACACAGCAGAATCATCCCAGTTAGAACAACAACTTTTAGAACTTACCAAAAATGAGGAAATCAAATTGAAATTCAAGAATGGTATCAAGAATTTTGGCTGCAAAAGCTAATCATGCAACTTTACCCTGGTTGATGATCAATTATTCAGTGACTTCTGATAGCATTCCCTTCATCGTATTTGTCTGAACGTGGATTCAATGCTGTAGTAACATTGCTAATTAAAAGAGAAATCGGTTGCTTGTTACCGAACGTGGTGATATAAGGCTGTTTTTGAGTATATTAACAAACTCATAAATGCGCATTAAATTCATCCTTCACATTAGGTAAATTTTAAATTTTGAATTCATAACTTTCTTCATAGTATAATTTTAATAAAAATACTTTTAATATGAATAATGTTAAAAATAAATGTTTTGTTTTCATAAAAATACTTTTAAATATGAATAAGCATGCGTTTTAATTGCTGTTATCAAAAAGTTCATTTAAAATTTATGTTAGAACTCAAATATAGGATATAGCATATTTATATATTATATTTGTAATATTTGGTTTAAAATGCATAACAGATGGTATATTAAATTATTTTTGGAGCGCTAGAATATTTTTGATTCTCAAAACGAGTGATGGATGAAATAATTTTGAGAACCTATAACTCTAAAGATACATAAAATACACAAAATATTTTATATTAACAATTACCTTTTTTTCAAATAAAACAGCAACAATAACTTTTTTAATATGTAAAATTACAAAAAATATGATTTCTACTAAAAATAATCATCATATTATTATATTTATTTTTATCAGCAGTCCAGAGACCATTAAAATGAACCATGCAATTGAAAATATTATTATAGAATTGCCAAGGTAGGTATTAAAAGCATAGATATTATATTTAAGCGGGTATCTCCTTAGCTTCATAGTTGAAAATTAATTTACAGATTTATATAAATCTATGCCAATTCTTCTTTCTTTGTATTTAAAACTAAAAGATCACTCAACTTGTCATCTCCCATTATAATAAGTAAGTTTTAAAATTCCAAAGAGATGAAAATAATCGTCTATCGAGATAAAAAGTATCAAATTCTGTTTGTGTGCCAAATTTCACCAAAATCCGTTCATTAGTATTATTAATTGATAAATAAAATACATACAAATTAGGCAGTAAAATATGAATACATAAATATATCGATACAAAATGTGCTGTAAGAATTTTGGACATTAAATTAGTGTATGAAAATTTTTTTTAATAAACAGTTAGCAATGAAATATTATCCTCTTTTTTGTGGTTTAACTATTTTTTAATAAATCGAAGTGAGATGGTGACGTATTATTTCATTAAGTAAAAGATTTTAATTGTTTAATTTAAAATGTTTGTATAAATTAATCATTTATCAAATTGATTGCCCTGAACTTATTAAATTTTGGAATCGATTCTTTTAATTTTAGAATACAATCCCTATTTTATCACTTAATTTCGTCGAATACATATAGTATGCACTCATCTATATATTGCACCCTGGTGTGAGTAAATAGCGTCCATACAAGTAAAATAGACGTTCAACTAAACGCTGCCTTGAGACTTATCTCAGAAACCTTGAAGTCTACGCTTATTCAGTGGCTACCAATTTTGTTCAAAATCTTCCCTCCGGACCTTAGAAGACGGGAACGGGGTGCCCTCCTTAGAACCTTCCTTGGGTTAACTATGAACTAATTACGAATCTCCTAACACACCACGATATATCAAACAGCCGGTCACAAAAAAGACTGGAATCACGCAATCCAGCTTGGCATACAGCTACGTGCAACAACCTTCTATATAGCAGAATCCTAAAAATCCAATTGGGATAACTCAACTTTGGACTTACGCAACTAAGTGACAGATCTTACATCCACACTAAAGGGTCAAGACCTCCCTCGTAGAGACTGGTCTACTTTAAACAGGCTCAGAACTGTATATGGTTTCTGTAACCAGATGCTACACAAATGGGGACCAGGCGAATCATCCTCATGCGACTGTGGAGCAAACTACCAGATTATCAACCACATGATATCAGAGTGCGTTCCAAGACAACAAAACAGACTTTCTGCTTCCTAGTCCAGATGCTATCAATTGTATCAAACGCCTAAACATAAATTTATAACCACCTAAGCTTACGTTAAGTCTTGACCACATGCCACCTTTATTCTATGTTAATCCAAAATTATTTCCTTTTTATATTTTATTCCAATTAATTTTATTTTTTTGTTATTTTATGCCTTTTTTATGTTTTATGATTTTTTTTGTTTTACATTTTAATACTGTTCAGATGTACCATATTATACAAATAAATAATAAATAATGCATTCTCTTGCAAATAAACCTATGTTGGTTGGTAACTCTGTATGTAATATTAACTTATTTAATACGTCACTCTTTATGTTAAAAGCATATTGTAAATAATGTAAATTAAGTATATTCTATCATTCATTTTTGTTTTTATTTTATTTAGATATACATTTATATGTTTGGATTTATTTATTTGTTTGTTTTTTTTTTTTTTTTTAAATTCTAATTTTAATTAATGTTAAACGTATTGTCTTATTGTTCTTATTATTATCGTACAATTATTTGTATTGTGAGAAAGTTGGCAACATCGTAATTTCAAAGAATCGTGATTATCATTTTTCCGATAACTAGAAATGGCCGACGCTCAACTTTCTACTCGTAAGTCAGGGCGTCTTAGAAATACGTATTTGTCATTTTAAATTTAAAAATTTAGTATCTTTTTTTTGTATGCATAAACAAGAACTCCTTTAATTAAACGAAAAATGTAAGAATATAATAAGGTACAGTTCATTTTTACAGTTATTTGTTTGTCTTTATTATAGCAATCAGTGCTCTCGGGCCTCAACGATTTACTCATTTGAAATAATACCGAGTTAAATTGATTTCATCACGCTATTATTTTAAATTGGTAAATCTTTATGGAACACTAGTGATATGTTNTTATTGTAATTGTACGTGTAACCTAACCTAAACAAATGTTTGACATCATATTACAGTCTTCGAAAAGTAGTAAATATTGTTGGAATTTACATCGTTTCGCCCCGACCATTTTCCGCCGCTCATTGTATTGTCAACACCGTGATATACCAGCTACCTACTGTACCGTAAGTAGGTGTTATATGTTATACATTATTATATTTTTAATCTCTAACATTTTTCCTTCGAAATATAATATCACTTTTTTATTCCCAATCCCACCCTACTTTTCGACAACAATAAATGATAATAACAATAATATTAATTGATTTCAAAGAAAAATTAAATATCTACACAATTTTTTTTAAAACACAATTTTATGGTTGTATTAAACTATTAAGTGCCTATTATACACATTCAAGTTAAAAAAAAAAAAAAAAAGCACCTAATTATTTAAATTTATTATAACATTTTTATTATTTGAATACTTCCTTATCAGAGCATTCAGATTAATTATTATTAAAAATTCAGCACAAAATAATGTAATAGTGTCCCAAATGTATTATCTTAATTGTGTTATTCGTAAAGAAAATATAAAGAAATACAAATTTTACTTTAAAAAATGATGGTAACATCCAATCTATCATTGAAGCATTGGCGGAAGAAATATTAAAAAACGAATTATTTGGGTATTTGACATTCTTAATTCTTGACAATATCAACTATCCTTTCTCTAGAATGGGATATTTCCTTCCCCCAAACCAAAACCATATTTTTGAAAGGTTAGAAAAACTGGTTTCAATCTTTAGTGAGAAATCTTCATGCAAATTATATGGGTGTTTATTGAGGCTATAGAACTAAAGCAATTCAAAAAGTTTATTAAAATTGTAGGTACACTAAGAATATGTATCTATTTAACTTTTTAAATGTCTACTTATATTACTGAATTATAATTGTTCCATTAATTTTAATATAATCATCGCTTTTACAAAAAAGATTATTAAATATCAGATTAAATTATATAAAAACTATAGATATTATTATAATAAATAATTTGAATATAAAATATACAATATTACAATAGTACAATCTCAATATAATTATGAAACTTTTTTTCAGACTCAATTCTAAAGAAGAATCGTGGTAATTTAGTTTTTTATATTTTGTATTAAAATACCCTGACCATACATAATGCAGCCCTATGATTCCTCTCAGTCTTCAATCAATTACCAGCAAAATCAACCAATGGATCCCAATCAAGGCTACTATAATAATGAACATAATATTATGCAGCAAGTTCCAAACAATGGTATGAATGATTATTACTATAATACACCTACTACTTCCCAATTTCCATATAATAATGGATCTATGTCTACTAATGTACCTTATGTTTCCCCATCTACTAATACCCTGAATATAAGTGACAATAATCATTATTATATTCCGCAGAATATGCAACTTACCCCTCAACCTACATTGTCTTTTTCATATAATAATATAATTTCACCAAATCCAAATGTATATTTCGATAATGCATCAGTGTATCAAACTAATGTATCAAACTTAAATATGCACATTTCTTCAAACCCTACTTCATGCTACCAAGGGGAAAACTTTGCACATAATATGCCTTTACCAGTTAATCCATTAAACATTAATTATGGATCACCAGTTAGTGGTTCAAACAACCAACATGTACCTAATTCAAGAAAAGATGACGAATGGTTTAATTTAACAAGAAAGTTTTTAAATAATCCGTCAAAAAATTCTACCCGTAATATTTCATCGGTATCTAACACTCATCAATCTGATTCAAAACAAAAACATTTTTTTAAAAATCAATCAATTAATACCAGAAATCCAACTGCTGTTGAAACAAAGATATCTGAAAAACATTCAATTGAACAAATAATAGCTAACGAAAAAAAAAAACATTATCACTCATTTAAATCTGATCTATATTATAGAAAGTGTAAAGACTCAAATGTTTCAATAGCAAATGATATAACATTAGAAGTATGTAATGAATTTGAAAGAGTTTTAGGAAAACGTGCTACAGATGTGAATGCATTAAAACCAGTATATAGTAAGCCTCGTAAAAGTAATGTTAATGTTGTTAAACACAAGTGTACAAGAATTAAAGACAATAATGGATATGATTCTTCTAGTTCAAGTGATGAAGATTCAGATTATAAAATTGCCTCATTAAAAGAAATTACTAAAAAGAGTGCCCATCCTGATCGACTACATCCAGAACTTTGGTTTAACGAATTAGGAGAAATGATTGATGGGCCAGTATGTAGATGTAATTTGAAAGCCCAGAGGTCTGGTATCCGTCACAATATTTATATTGGCGAAGGACCATTTGAACCTTGTATACCAACTACAAATAATGCAGAGAAGTTATATCATTATAGAATTACTATTACTCCAAGTACAAATTTTCTAAATAAATATCCGACAATTACATTAAAGAAAAGATGCCAGCTGATTTTGTAATACAAGAGTTAAAACTATTTTATGACTTTTTCTTCAAAGACATATTGGAATTGGTAGATTTAGATTTACACGGTGTAGGCAATAAAGATGGATGTCCTCAATTTCATTTCATGCCTAGATTTGTAAGAGATTTGCCAAATAACAATAAAGAATTACTTCCTATGTGTAATGTTCTTAAATATCTTTTAAATAGCAATAAATTACTTTTTGAAGAAAACTCATTGCCTGTTTTAAAAAGAATGACTACTAATAAATGGCAAGATATTGTAGATGAATATAAAGGCATGATCATTACAAACCCAGGAACTAAACCGTGTTCAATACGTGTCGATCAACTAGATAGAGAATATACTAATGATTCTACTGACAAAAAAGTTAAATTATATCCAGTTGTAGTTCATTTTGGTATAAGACCACCACAATTAAGTTATATTGGTAATCCAGACTATCAAAAAGCCTGGAAAGATTATGTAAAATGTAGACATCTTCTTGCAAATATGGTCAAACCATCTTCTGAAGATAAACAAAAACTTAGAACCAAGGAAAGAGCGTTACATGAAATGCGGTCACGTAATGATATGAAACGTGGAGTCACGGCTGTTTTTAGTAGTAAAGGATTTTATAAAACTGGTCTCATGTGTGATATAGTTCAGCATGCGATGCTTTTACCAGTACTCGCGTGCCATTTTAGATTTCATAAAAGTTTAGAATACTTAGAAAAATCAATAGGATATAAATTTAAGAACAAGTATTTACTTCAATTAGCTTTAACTCATCCATCTTATCGAGAAAATTTTGGTACAAATCCTGACCATGCAAGGAATACTCTTACAAATTGTGGTATAAGACAGCCAGAATATGGAGATAGACGTATTCATTATATGAATACAAGGAAAAGAGGTATTAACACCCTTATAAATGTAATGTCACAGTTTGGTAAAAAATCGGAAATTGAATCAAATATTATGCATAATGAGCGTTTAGAATTTTTAGGAGATGCTGTTGTTGAGTTTGTGTCTACTATACATTTGTTTCATATATTACCTGATATTGAGGAAGGTGGTTTAGCGACATTTCGATCTGCCATTGTGCAAAATCAACATCTTGCTATGTTGGCAAAGACTTTAAAACTGGATGATTTTATGTTATATGCTCATAGTTCAGATATATGCCATAATTTAGAACTTAAACATGCAATGGCTAATTGCTTTGAAGCTTTAATGGGGGCATTATTTTTAGATGGAGGAATAGAAGTTGCTGATCGTGTATTTGGAGAAACATTATTTAAGGATTCACCAAAATACCTTGACATATGGGTGAACTACCCTAAACATCCATTACAACAACAAGAACCAAAAGGGGACCGTAGATGGATCAAAACATCACTATTACTTCAAAAACTAACTCGTTTTGAAGAGTCTATAGGAATTAAATTTAATCATATCAGACTATTGGCAAGAGCATTTACTGACAAAAGCGTAGGTTTTACAAATTTAACTCTTGGATCAAACCAACGACTTGAATTTCTTGGCGATACTGTTCATCAGTTAATAACATCGGAATATTTATACAAATATTTTCCAGAACATCACGAGGGTCATTTGTCACTACTTCGTAGTTCTTTGGTAAATAATCGAACTCAGTCTGTTGTGTCCAATGATTTGAACTTGATAAATTATGCATCATATGCAAATCCGAAATTAGATTTGAAAACAAAAGACAGAGCTGATCTTCTAGAAGCATTTCTTGGTGTCTTGTATATAGATAAAGGTCTTAATTACTGTCAGAGATTTTGTAATGTTTGTTTTTTCCCCCGTCTGCAAGATTTCATTTTAAAACAAGATTGGAATGATCCAAAATCAAAACTACAACAATGTTGTTTAACATTACGATCAGTTGATGGTGGAGAACCAGATATTCCCATGTATAAAGTGATTGAATCTATAGGACCAACTAATAGTCGAAAGTATACTGTAGCTGTTTACTTTAAAGGTGTTAGGTTATCACAGGCTGATGGTCATAGTATACAACAGGCTGAAATGAATGCAGCTAATAGTGCTTTAGAGGTAACCGAAGATTTGTTCCCACAATTGGATCACCAAAAAAAAGCAATTTCAAAAAGTTTGCGTCATCAAAGTGCAGATGATAATACACATTTTATGGACATAGAAACAGTTTTAAAATCACATTCATCTAAAAGTGATTCACACCTAAGTGAAACAGAAAAGAATAAAAATGAATTACACAAAAAATTATTAGCAGTATTATGTTCTGGCGAGAATTATAATGATGAAATAGATGAACTAGAAAGAAAAAATCCTAAAAAAAAACCCAATAAGAGAAAAACTTAAAGGGAGTACCAGAAAGAAAAACAATTTAAAACATAAAATTTTGAATTTTGGTTTAAATTATTTTTTTTATTAAATATGTTTTACACATGAATGTGAAACATCTTAATTATATCACATTTTTCATTTATTTGAATAGCTATTACTATCTAGATATTTGTCTCTAAATAAATGTAATTTTTTGTTTTATAAAATATATATGTACCTTTTTTGTAGCAATACTAGTAGTGTACTAGTTATATTTTGCTAAATAGCATATAGGACGATAACACTACATTTTCTTAGGAAATAAACGCAAAATTTAGTGCCTTAAGTGCTACTTTTTCCCAAAATAGAATTATGAATTTAATGAAATATTATATAATTTGTAATTATATTATTTTTATCTTAGTCTATAGTAAATTAATATTTGTAGCTAACTATAGTTTCTATTTCCCTTATTGGACATTTTAAATGTAAATAAATTATTATATTTTTATGGTAAGAATTAATATTAAAGTACTACATTTTAAAGAAAACTATTTCTACGTGATTAGATTTATCAATTTAAACTATCATTGTTTTTTTAATTCTTTTATAATGATTTTTAATGTGATTATTTGATAACTTCTTTTTTTATATACATATATTTTAATTTTGTTAAAAATATTTACATTCCCTTTAATCTTAAGTATTATGCATAACTGTTTTATTTTTTATTTTATTTGTAAATAACCATCTATTGTTCATAATTTATTATAGTGTAATTACTTTGTAACTCTGTGCCTCCGCCACAAGCTTAGCTTAAAGAAGGTATTCATAATTTAATTTTTATTAAGTAATAATTAATTATAGATTTATTTTCATCTTAAATATTTTTATGATTGAAAAGAAAAGCATTCAATTTTCAAAAAATCGTAGAAATAAAAGACCAAACTTTAACAAAATACATAATTTTTTAACTTTATCAAACTAACTTTTACAACAATAAAATATATGTATTTTAAATGGTAAAATTATTTCTAGTGTATTGTTAACTTTAATCAATTAGTTTAGTAAAACTGCATATGTTACTCAACAAAGTTTCAAAATAAACAATTTTTAAAATTTAAAACATGTTTTTACAGTAACTTTCATCATACTTAATTTCTAAAATAACATTTTTTTTTTTTTTTTCATAGTTACTATAATTTATGACATCACATGCATTTACATTCTACATCACAATTTCTATCTGAAATTGAGCAAAATATGCATGGTTCTGCTTAAGATTATAAAAGCCATCAGAAATGTTCACAGTAAATTTTAAACTATTCATAAGTTTAGCTAAATTTTGAATTTTTTCTTTAAAAGGACATTTTATTCAAATAACTTTTAATAGTATATTTTCAGTGTTAACCATGATTCCATGAGGTGTGTAATCTAACCATGGATTTAAAGTATTTATGACTAAAATATTACAACCAGTCATTTTGACGTACATATCTTTAAGAAAACTTTCTATATTTACTTTCATATTGTGAGCTACATTGTAGACATTTACTGGTGATTAGTTAGACCAAAAATATCTGCTGGCATTTAGTGACCACTGTTCATTTGTTTTTGTGTTTTTGTTGTATTTGTGTTACTCATAATAGCAGTTACTTATTATTCTCAACTGCCTACAAGCATTCCAAAAATACTTATCATTTAATGTTCTCTCTAAGATGTAATTGAAATCTGTAAACAATTTAGAATATGTAACTCTACAGCAATCAACTTAGTCTATGGCATGGTAAAGGTGTAATATTTTCATTAGAGGATGGTTTAATAATTTTATAAACCATAACTCTACATTGTAAACTTGTGTGTAGTTGACAATTATTCTGTTAATAACTGCTGACCTTGTAAATGAAAGGCTAATGCTGATTTTAAGGCAACAACTAAAAACTTAGACCTATAAAATAAAAATAACACAAAAGTTCAGGTATTAATAACTAATAGCAAATTGTATAATATTACTTATCATTAAATGCTTTTAATTTTAATACACTTACTGACATACATATTTAATAATTTTCTTAATAAATTTGAATGTAATAAAAATGTAATACTTCAATAAAAAATATTGTATAAAATAATAATTAAATCAGTACTGTATCCAGAAATTAGTTTTGAAGAGGACACTAACTTTAAAATCTAAATGACAAAAAATTTACCTGTATATCATGTAAAATAGAGCATTTACCTGATTACATAAGCTACATATTCTTTCAGCACTATTTTAAATTTTCAATTTTTCTGAAACAATCAAATTTATCAATAGGTGTTGATTTGTATTGCACTAAAATAGGTTCTTTCAATTTTGTCTACTAACATTTCACATCAGTGACAGACAATGTGTTAAATGAAGAAACAAGATTTCTAGAAAAAGAACTATTGAACACAATGATTCTTCAATATTTTCAGCCATCTCATCAAATCGTCTTTGTACAGAACCATTGTTCCAAGGAATGTTTCGGATAATATTTGCCGCTGGTTTATGGAGCACAGTTGTTATTACTTCTTTTACTGCTTTTAAAATTAAGTCTTCCCCAATAGTGTGTGGTTTGCCTGTTTTAGTAATTAACAATGATATAGTATACGAAGCACGAAGCCCATCATTGTCTAACTTAGAAGTCACAGAAAAAAGTGTTGATAAAGTAGGTTGAGCTATGTACTTCTTTTCCAAATTTTGAAAGTAGGTCACATCTTTGTCTTTCATATCTGAATGCACTTTATCAAAATTATCGTGTAGGCTTCATTACTTCATTTGAAAATGCTTTTTGACAAATAAGGCACATTGGCGATGATGGATTTGTCCGGCTTTGAATAAATCCGTATTTAATGTATTCCGCACTGTATTGTCGTTTTTTCTTTTTTGTTTTCGACATATTTTTCACTTCAGAAATACGTAGATATTTTATACGTGCACGAAATGACTAATGAAAACAAAATCAAAACGCGGTTTGACACCAAATCGTATACTAAAAGCCTCAAATAACCGAAACTTGAGTATACATCATATATTGGACGCAATATAATAATAAATACTAAGTTATCGGCTATTGTCGCCGTTACGATAACACTAACGATCAAGGCTGTGAATTTAATGCACTTAAAAACTATTAAATATGCACTAAAAACTGATGAAATGTGCTCTACAAATTCTTAAAATATGCTCTCATTTTTCAAAAATACTGAATTGAGCAAATTAAATAAAGAACTGTTTAATTTTTTCTTATTAATAGCAGTTTCAGCTGTGCCTGTTATTTGATTAAACTTTGTCGAAACATCTTGTACAATTTCCATAGCTTCAAATAAGGATATACCTTGTTTTTGTAGACGCGTTATAGCTATAGGAAGACATGCAAAATTTGAATGTATGTAAGCCAAATTTCCTTTCATTTGATTAAGTTTAAAATATTTTTGAGCCTTTTTTGATAAAAAGTGCATAATTTCCATCAAAACATTCGACAATTCGTCTTATAGTTTGGAAGTTTTCACTGTAATATATTGCGACAGAAATCCACGTACCCCAACGCGTCAAAATAGTTTTGGGTGGTAGTGGTATACGTGGTGGTGCATCAGTATGAAATTTCAGAACACGTAATGCGCCTTTTTTTTAATACTCATTTGACATTTGCGACCAGTTTATCGACTTTTGGAAATTTAATTTATTCGAGGTGGGAAATAGGGATTTATTTCTATAATTAAAAAAATCGGTTTTAAAATTTAAATGTTCAATAAGTTCAAGGCAATTAATTTGATTAATAAGTAATTTAACTAAAAATTTTAAATAAGGCAATCAAAATCTCGTATTTTATGAAATATTCTTAAGAAAATCGTTTACATTGTCATACCTTGAATGAGGTTGGGTCTAAACTTGAATGAATTCATCTGAACTAAATCAAAATAGTTCTACTGTTTTAAATAAATTTAGATAAAATTGTAGAATTTTCTTTATCTAAATGTAATTAAACTGTTGTAATTAAAGCACATTTGAATCGCGTAATATCTGAAGACGATAATTCAATGTTTTGGGAGTGTGTCTGCCATCCGTTATGCCGCCATTGATTGTCCTGAAATCAATAAATCAATAAGCCTGAATTGTTTTCTGTAACATCGTGCATTTTTTTTTTTACAACACCTCCTATTGTTCGTGCACTTGCGAATTTTAACGGCGCGCCGTTTTCCTATAATTGTGATTCGGGTTTTACCCGATTATCTCGCAAACCCCTTTGAATACCGAAAAAACGACCTTCCCGGTGCACTAACTAATAGAGAATATTATGCGTGCCCAACATGAAAATATCAAACGGTAACAATAATAATAACGCTGAATATTGTCGTGATTCGTTGGCCGTTTTTTCCCCCCCACCACTATCCACGGGTCCGTAGTGCGACGCCGACCGCGACCGATGAAACACTGAACCGGACGCGTCAACGAAATATCAATTGCGAGGCGCTGCGCAGTCAATAGCGCAATAGCGTTGCCGTTGTGTGATCGCCGCGACGTTTGATTGTCGGTGGCTCGGACCCGGTCGTTTATCGCGCGGACAAACCGTCTACGGCAGACACGACAGTATTTTCGGAGGCTTACCGCCGGTGTATCTGGTAAGTAACGGGCGTTTCTCATTTTTTTTTTTAACATTATTCGTATAGTCTTCGCTTATTATCATTATAATATAAATACGACACTCGAATTTTTTTTTCGCGTATACTACTCCGTTTAAATGTAAAAATTAAGAACCTACACCTTAAGTATGTCTTTGAACGTCAATTATAATGACGCACCGAGTAAATCAATAGTATGCGAAAATTGCCGTAATTGTATTTTTGTAAATTCAACAGGATTACATTAAATATTTATCTTTTTTTTTTTTTGTTACTTTCATTGGTAAACATTATATGTTTAATGCATCGTGGTGGTGTTTTCCACATTTATCGATTATAATACACCGATGTTATCTGTATTTTTTTTTACCTATGTAATCATATTGCAATTATCGTTACATAATTCCATAATTATATAGGCGGTGGCGGTTTTTAGGGAGGATCCCGCCCCTTGATGTTTTATCAAAACCACCGCCGTATCCTATATACCGTCACTGTTCGGTTTTCACTTCGTCGTAGAACACATTCTGTTCGTCGATTAATGAACTTATTTATTGAATTTATTCATCAATCGTAAAATCGGTTTATTACACACCAATCGATAAAATTAACTTCCGTACACCGCGTGTGTTCGAGCGCCGTCGATTCGCCGCCCGATCCAATCCGTTATGGTTTATAACCTTATTTATTTTTTTAGCGACCCGTTTAACGTTCAGCGAACGATTTTCATTGGTGTGCGGATACTTTACTTTCGGTAGATAATATTGTATCGACCCGGCCAAAATGCACGGTCAACGGCGGCGATCGACTTTGTATACCGACCACGCTTCCCGCCTTTTGACGGAACGGCACTGCTCGGACCAGTTCTCGCCCAGCAGTCCGTTGCTCAGCCAATGCAGCCACTACAAAGAGGAACAGATCGAAGCACAAGTGCACAAGACTTTTCCCTGGGTGAGTGATCGAGAGCCTCGGTTTCATACATTTTTTTTTTTCGCCATCAAATTTTAATTCGTCAATTACAAAATACCAAACGATATTACAATATAGGCACCAATACTCTTGCGCATCACGCATCGCTGTTACATTGAAACGCTGTTGTACATTACGCGTTTGTAATATCATTTACAGGGTGTCGCGTATGTATCGATGTGCATTGTATGTATGGCGTCATACGATCGTCTCTGTGTAACTCCGCCAGAAAAACTACGAAAATGCACGTACCTAACTCGTTATAATATTATCGTAAACATAAACATGTAGCTGGGTTTCGAATAGTCGGTCGTTAATAGGCATCTAAGTCATGATTACCTATAATAATTACCTGCACGTTGAGTACCTAAATATTCGAATATTATTCTCGTCGGTTTTTTCCACGCACAAAATTTGAATATTTCATTGCCATGGCGTGGAATTTATTTAATATGTACTTATCAAATAATGTTTATTGCGACAGAGATAGCAAATAGGCGTGTGTCGTTGGTGCGCCTATGATAAGCTACAATACTTGTGTGTAAACGCGAACAAAGCATTATTATTGTTATGGAACAGTGGTTCTTAACCTTTTTCGTTTCGGCGTAATAATCTACTGCCAACGTCCCCTCACGTAAAACCATAGGCTTGTTATTATTGTCCTGCTGGTATTGTGCCGATAACCTTTTTTTTTTTTTCCGCTTATCGGTCTATATACCGAATATTATAGGAGTCTCGGGCGACCCTAAATCCGGCCCCGAGTATAGGTAACACAATTATACGTGTGATCACGTGTCGCTGGACGCTGATGCTTTTGAATTCTATATTTTTCTATCATTATTCCGCATTTAAAAGCTCATCGCCCCCCCCCCACCACCACCACCAACCAACACCTCCTTAAAACCTAGTGCTCATGTTAAGAACCACTGTAGTAGAGTGAAATCCTAAAAAATATCATCTACGAGGCACTGTTTATATTATATACGACACTTTTAATAATCTACGGTCGTTCCACGAATTTTATTACATTACATCGACTGTGTACAACGAAACAAACATATAATAATAACATAATATTATATTCTCGAGATAAGAATTCAACAATATTATTATTATTTCAAACAAACGGGTTTTAACATCGCGTCTTAATTATTGTTTGTGCAACGAATAGTTTGATTTGAAAAACTAAATTTTTATTTCTTCATCGTTATTATTTTCATTACACCATTACTAATTTAATTATAGATTGCGAAGAAATTTTCATTGTAATATTCCACGGGCAGAAAAATATTCCATTGGTACGGTTTAATTTGTATCTTCGGTGAGATATAGGTACGTAATATACGTAATATACGAAAAAATTCCTTGGTACAAACTGGTGTACGATATATTTTGTACCGGTTTACCAGCACTTGATACCGATTATTTTACACCAGTCATAGATATTCGACGATGGAAATCTGTGTGTATCCCCACCATTGTCCATAATTAACAATGATAATACTATCAATTAAATATTAATCAATCGTTTAAATTATTACCTATACTTCCAATTCCCGCTATTAATACATTAGTAGTAACTAGTAATTAATTAGAATATTAATTGTTATCAATTAAATTATTATTATTATCGTTTATCTGTTCGTTTATTATGATGAAATAAGAGGACGTGAAACCGGTATAAATAGTTTGGACCATTTGCTCGTGATGGTGTGGAAAAATTAAACCGGTGTCGTTAATTTCAACACCGGTTACTCCGGAAATTTCTCAAATTCACACCGGTTTGATTTTTAAGGGGAAATTAACACCGATTTGTGCCTACGAATTTCTTGATAGTGTAAAGTACGAGCAGGACCGCATTTGGGGCGATGCAATGGGTGCAATTTCACCGGGTGCAGATTTTTGGGGGCGGTTTATAATAATATTGAACTGGATAGTCGTTTTATATCTGTGGCGGATCCATAAATAATAAAAAAAATGGATAGAACGCCACCAATTATTTGCTTTTTAAATTTTCGGTCTCTACTTGGTTCACTATAGTTCTTCAGTGACAAGCCATTATGAGTCTAGAGATGGGCATAACCGACTATGTCGGTAGTATTTTGTAACTAATTTTAAGTCAACTAACGACTACTCATTTTTTTTTCTACCACTAAGTAGCTACGACTTATAATGAATCTCCTGTCAGTTTAGTCCAATCATTTTATCCACAGAGTACCTACCAAATGAAAATTACGTACAAAATTTGCAAAATTAAAAAGTCAATAAATAGCTCAAAAAAGGTTCAAATGTTACCACGCCTAGAAAAAGCGAAAATATAAATATTTTAGCTGCCATACCAAGTAGCTCACATATTGTGCGAAGTATGTGCGTTTTTTAAAATATATTATACTATCTCAAAATATCTGTCTCACCGACTGACACCATTATTCACTGCCGTGCCGCGACGCTCGACGCCCGACAACAAGCCAATTTATGAATAATATTCAACTAATACAGTTATTGAACAGAGATTAATTGATTAATACACTCAATTAACGATTAATGAAAAATGTTTAGTCGTCTAACAAATAATGACTAATTTAGTCGACTTATTTCAAAGATTTTATATTGGTTATATATATATATATATATATATATTTGTAAATAATAAAGATTAAACCAATATTTTTATCTTCTTCAAACTGGTTGCTAAAAAGCCGGATCTATTCGAAAGAGGTTGGTGGTGCGGGGTTCTTGACAGAGTGATCATTCAGAAGATTCCTCATGCGGGTGCAGTTGCGGCATAATTTCTTTTAGAAATTTATGTAGAAGTTCAAAGTGTTAATAAATTATAATCACGACCTCTGCAAATAGTTGTGCTACCACATTAAGCGATCAAGGGTCATATTGACTGACTGACCTTTGGACTCTGGTTATGTTAATTAAAAGTATAATTTTTGGACCAATTGGCAAAGGATATTGCCTCCCTCTCTCTATTAGACGAACCAAATTCGCCATTGCGCGGGTGAGACGCTTGAAACATCAAGAAAAAGACCGTTATTTTTTATTTAAGAGACTTATGCGTCGAAGCCGATGAATTGTTTTCAGTTAACATGAAACTTCAATGAAATCATTATTATTTAGTAATAATTTTGTTTCACACCGTCTTGTAAATTTTATTTTTCTTCGTTACTCCCTAAAATATATGTATAAGGTTATAATTTCGTGTCACTATAATATAATAGAATATTATTATCAGTTCTATTGTTATACTGAAATAGTGTCAAATCGACAAAATATCTCAAGTCAACCAGCCGTCGATGTATGGTATGTACTTGTTGCGCAAAAAGGAAATGCAACTGCAAAACTTTGTGCAGGAAATCCAGCTGTATCACGTAACTACCCAGTCAAAGGGCATAACGTCGCTGAAGAACGGACTGAACTGGCGGCTCACCAAGCGCTCAAAGTTCGGACGTGGAGTGTCGTTCAGCGACGACTGTGACTATGCCAACTTTTACGCACATTTTTCTTCGAGGGAAGGTAAACAACACATTATTTTATGAAATGCTTATAACTTTTGTATATTAATATATATTCATAAGACTGTGTGTCGACTGCAACGTTATCTATCACTTTTTTTCTCGTTTTCTCAGTTTTCATTCCATAACCCTATCGGTGCACATAACTAAGTTGGTCCACAATACGAACCTAGAAATAAATATTCAAAATTAATAATTTTATTTAAATATACTGTAATTGTTCTTGAATCTAAAATATCGATGCTGATTGCTATAAATATTGAGATTATCCTTTAATATACAGTCAAATTACTTAGAAATATTTTTTTTTCAGTTTGGAAATTTTCTTTCGGATTTTTTCCGTTTACCATTCATATGGAATAATGGTGTATGTATTTTAATTGTTGAAAACTTAAAATACTACAACTAATATAGATCAAGGAATCATGCATACACACTGCATATTATTTTAGTGTCATCTGTAAATAATTGTAGATTTTGCCATGATAAATTGGCCACGTGTTTTCTTATATATAAAATTATCGTGTTTAAATGTTCGTTCCCATACTCCTCCGAGACGGCTTGATCGATTCTCATGAAATTTTATATGCATATTCAGTAGGTCTGGGAATCGGCTACTATCTAAGTTTCTATGCTCTGCGATAAGTGGTTCCGGAGTTATGGCCACTTAAGTCAAAGTATACTAGCACGCACGATATTCAACAATTATTATTTTGCCATAGAGAGATAATATACACTCCATGTGATTGTTTTTTATTATTGGTTTCCGTGGCACCCGGGTGCCAATAACAATTGAGAACGGCTGGGCCGATTTGGCTAATTTTGCTAACCTAACCTAACCTATGTACGTGTGTTTTGCACATATTTCAATGCCAACAAAACGCAAAGGGGCTGATTTGAACCGTAATACAAGTAAATCTCGAAGCTTGCGAAATAGAAGATCCGAAAGAACCGAAGAACAAATCCAGCAACAAAATACTGATGCACGTGTCAGAATGGCGCAATTGCGTCAAGAAGAGTCAGAAGACACACGAGCTGAACGCAATGAAGTAATAAGATTAGAACAACGACAATCACGCCGTTTCACAGTCAATAGACGCAGNAAAAAATCGAGGACAATGAAAATTTAAGAAACCAGGCTGTAATCACACGTACTAATGAAAGTCAAGAGCAACGCAATGAACGCCGTCGAGCTAATACATTGAGACAGACTGGCCTGTCAACGAGTCACCGACACATTATAAAATAAAACTATTATAATTTTTATTATCTCTATTATTTACACTATTCAAATATCACAATAGAACACATTTAGGCCGCCGCAGGTGGACTACCCACTTTCCACCTATTTGTTTTCATTCAATTCTAACATGGCCATTCCAAAACCAAAAATGAATATGGGTAAAATAATAATAATAATAAAAATTGGCACGGGCAACGCCGGGCGCGGGACAACTAGTTATCTATATTATTGTTATAAACTTGTAACGCTAACCTCTATTCACCGTGAGTTGACTCACTTCCGTGTATGTATACTGAACCGCCGTGGTCTGTGATTGGTCGGCGGTGTTTGGCGATCTTCGTTGTAGGCCGCAGGCTGCCGCCGCGACTGTTCATACAGAAGGTGTTTTTTGGAGGGACGGAGGTTTTTTCGAAGGGTTTTCGTCTATCGAGTAGGTCAACTTACGGTGAATAGAGTATAGTTGTCGTAGATAAGTATGTGTTCCATAATCGGGACGGTAGAGGTTTCTACCGAATTTGTTACCTCTGCACGTCTAGCGCCCGGCATCGCAGATTACCTAATTTACCTTTAATTTAATTTGATTTCAGACAATCGTGTTATAATCGTCTGCACTGTACTAGTGGCCAACAAGTGGACGGTCAAGGGGAACTCTGGCAAGGATTTGGAAGTGCCTCCAGAGACGGCCGATACCACTATCAGCCCCAACGGTCGAGTGTACGTCAAGTACAACGACTACGAGTTCTGCCCGATGTTTGTGGTATACTACAGGTGCAAACACGAAGATTTGTGCCAAAGCCGTTATTTTAACGGCAAAAACGGTCCGCAAAGTATTGTGGGTAAGGCGAAAATAAAATATGTCCCAGTAGTCGACACGAAGCTCCAGAAACAGAAAGAGGAGCGACAACAGGAACAACAGCTGTTGAAGCAACAGATACAGTGGAAGTCACAACAGCAAGAAGAGCAACGGCTGCAGCAAGAACAGAAACGACAAGAAGACCAATGGCGGTGGCAGTGGAAATTGCAGCAAGAAGAGAATCAACGGTTGCAACGTATTCAACAGGAACAGCGGCAACAGCAACAAAACAACAATGGGTGCCTTATACTTTAATTTGTATGACAATATTACATACAAATTTTCATTTATACAGGGTTTTTCTAAATTTATTAACTAAGTGTTAATTTATTATACTTTTTAATGGGATAAAGTTAAAAAATATTTGTTCAGTATTTTCATATTTTCTACCTTGTTTACTAATTTAAAACTGTCCATAACTAAAACATTTTAAAAATTATATCATATATTGATATAATGAATCAACAATTTATGGCTAATACATATTGGAAAAAATAAAAAAAATAGTTTAATTTGTTTCTCCTAACTTAGTGAAATCAACTATAACAATTGCTGATACACGCTATATAATATAATATTTTTATTTTTTTGCTTTTTTTTACATATTCTTACATTTTTACTCAAAATTAATATAATTCATAATGTTCCTTTGTGGTAATCTGTCCAATACTCCAATACTCCAATACAATGTGCTCATTATAGTGGTTCTTATTTAGGTGATGGTAAAATTTTTGTTTTGACACCCTCTAACTTTAGCTTACGCTTCCTAGAACCATTTCTAAGTCCTCTGTATCAAAATAAAGTTTCTCATTTAAAACCAATGGGTTTTTTTTAAAAAAAATTCAGAATAAACAAAAAACCCATGTATTTTAAATGAGAAACTTTACCTCGTTACAGGATAATGTAAGAATTATCCTAAGAAGCTCAAATAGGGCTCAATATTTATTTCTATTTTTTTTAGAATAAAGTTAGTGGGTGTCAAAACAAAAATTCTATCATCGCCGAAATAAGAACCACTCTAGTGTAAATACTGCATATTTAAATTTAAAAAAAAATTATAATTAATATTATTATCATATACATACTACCAATTTTTTTATTACAATGTGAACAGTGAGTAATACATTTTTACATAAAATTGTATTCAATTAAATTATGATGTTCATTTTTTTTTTAAAACATTTAAATTTATTTTTTCTTAAGTATGTATAATCTTAGTTTATTACATTAATAAATTATGATTTAAGAGGGAGTAATATCGGCTTATGTTGTCTCTGTCTTACAAACATACAACATTACAAATTTATGTACAACAGAGACAACATTGTGCTGTTAGTTTTAATACTAGAGTGAATTGGCCTATTATCAAACTTAAAGATAAGAACATTAACTGTGGCGTGTCAGGTTTTTATTTAGGTAATTTTTTATTTGTAAGCGTTATATATGAGTATGAAATATTATAATTTTAAAATGATCATAATCTCATTTAAAATTAAAATAATAAAAAAACAATAACATGATACAGATTATGTTTTTATTTATTTGTAAGTTTGATAATACGTCAATTCACTATAATAGTACAGAGATCACATAAGATAATGGCATCCTCTTAAATATAGTAGAAAAGACATATATTAAAATGTTGTTTGAATGCAGATATAATATTCTTTAATACTTATATCCATTAATATAATCAGTCAATCTATCCCATACTTTATGAGGTCTAATAATCCAAATAGGGAGAAAGTAGCCTTGGTCTCCAAGTAAAAAATACCTTTTGCTCTGAAAAAGTAACAGTATTTTTAATGGATTCATTTTTTTTTTTTTAAACATTATTTTGAAAATATCAAGAAAATATTCCTACTAAAGTATAGTATTCCATTTATTTATAGTTTACAACAATAATAATATATCTACTTAAAGCATTAGCATTAACTTATAATTATTTTAAAAATATTCTACTACTCAACAGGCAGATGGTCAGCTTTAAATTTAAATGTTTCAGATATTGATGACATACAATATAAACCCAAACAATACTCTTAAAAATATAATATTTTATGATATAAAAACTCAATAAACACCATTAATTAAATATTGCTTCAATTGAAAAATGCTTTGTAATATTTTGAATCTAGATGCTCATGAAAAAAGTAATTTTTTATTTTCCAAATAGTTTTTTTAATAAAAAAACGAAAAAATAAAGTTGGCAAGGTAAGATACAAAAGAGAATTTAGTGTGTGAACTATTATTGTTTACAGATTGCTTTACAGAAGCATTGCTAATAAAAAAAAACGATTCTGAGCGAAGTTCAGTTGATAGTGATATTTTGTTGACAATATATATGTCATTTTATGGTAAAATAATTAAATATGCATTATATATTTTCTTTAATAACAATTTGTTTAAAATTGTACTGATTTTTCTTTTTTTCCTACGTTTTTACCGGTTTTCTCATGTTTTTTCCTAATTTCTACCATTTTTAGAGAAAATTCTGTAAAAATCAGAAAATTACTTCCCCAGTGAAATTATCTTTTTGAAAAATTGCTATCATTAGAAGTTGGAGCAAAATTGCTGATAGAAAATAATAAATATCTTTGTAAAACCATAAACTTTTTTTCCAATTATAGAATCTAAATTGAAAACTAATAATTTATGACATTATGATTCCTTTATTTAAGCTTTTTATGGTTTATGTTTTCTATTAGAAATATTGTTCCAATTGAAAAACAACAAGACAGATTTTTATTAATTTTTTAATTTAGTTAGTGATTAAGAAAGTTATTTTTTTATAATTAAGCAAAACCGAAAAAGAACGGGAAAATTTACGAAAATAATGCTTTTATTAATTATTTTAAATTTTGTCTTTTAGATTTTGAGTGAAGCAAAGAAGCCTATGGTATTACAAAGAAGTTTATTTACTTTTTTTTTTCTACGGACAACTTTTCTATCAGCAATTTTGTTCCAAATTTTAATGATAGCAATTTTTCTAAAAGAAAATTTCACTGGGGAAGTACTTCAAAGAGGCCGTTTATCGATTTTCTCCGGAATTTTCTCAACAAATGTAAAAAACCGAAAAAAAAAACATGGAAAAACCAATAGAACATTAAACAAAATTTAATTATTATTAAAGAAAATATATAAAGCCTATTTAATTATTTTACTATAAAATGACATATATATTGTTGACAAAGCATCATTGTCAACCGAACGCCGCTCAAAATCGTTTTTTCGTAAGCAATGGTTTATCGTTGCTTACAGGTATATATTAAATTACCTATAACAGTGGCTGCACCTGTCTCAATTATCCTAGAAAGTTATTTTGATGCAATTCATTTAGAAATATTCGTAGATTTGACATTTTTATTTGCCTTTTCTTGGCACATAATTTTTGAAAACATTTGTGCTATTTTTGAGCTATTTATAGACACTTAAATTTTGCAAGTTTCTTGCGTAATTTTTATTTAATAGGCACTCTGTGGATAAAATTGTTTGACTTAACAGAAATGTTTAAACATTTATCAGGTGATTCATTATAAGTAAATAAAAAAGTTGACTGTAAATAGTATTTTTTTTCTTTTATAAAAGTTAATGTCAAATTTTGACGAAAATCGTGAGTATAATGACCGTTAATAACTTTATGTACCTTACCTTTCCAACTGGTAATTTTCCATCTATACATATAACAGTGGCGCTCTCATCAGCAGTGTAGCTCTTTTATTTTTACGGTTTATAATTTCACTGAACAAAAAATATGAAGGCAATCATAAGAATATAATAAGGAACTAATAAGGTCTTAGTTTATAAGGAGAAAATTAATTAGCCGCGAAACATAAATTTACATTTACTAATTATCGATAAACCATTAACCTGATATTACCCTTGAAAACATTATTTTTGGTCCACCGTAATAGTGTAATAATACAATAATACAATATCCTCTACAAATTATAGGTATGTATATCCATAATATATTACGTTAAATTAGATTTTGAGTTGAATACTTTTCTGAAACTAATATTAGGTTAAATAGGCACTTAAAGACTTGAATACTCATAAAAAATGTTACGGTAGTTATTTGGGTTGGTACCGAGTATAGTAGTATAGTATACACACATTTGTCTAAGTTATTTTATAAGTTTTATTTTTAAGCTACATTTAAAATACAATTTTTATGATTGTTACACATTATACTATAGTTAAAACTAATAAAAATAAAATATTACCTACAACTTTTATTTATCAGTTTTTATATTACAGTTATAGGAAAAGGATAAACGTATTGAAAGTGCTAACTGTCTACCGCCCGTGCCGTTTTTTGAATTATTTTTCCCTTTATTCCCGTTTTACTTAGTATGCTTGACGGAAAAAAATAAGTGGATATTATATAGTCTTACGGGCTACGACGGACCATATGTCATAATAATATGTTATTTTGCTAGGCTTTGTTGCTAGATTCGCGTCTCCAAGGTAAATAAATAAACAAAATGTAAAATCTTATAATAATAATATGGTTTTTCACTACGAAGAATGATTTTTAAAGATGAGATGGTTGAGCATTAAAACTCTTAAAGCCTATAACTTTCCCGGGAAAATTCTGATCAAAAAGCCTAATCACGGTCAGATGAACGGTTTAGGAAGGCATTTGAGACTTACAGACACAAACGTTAACTTTTATATAATATAGCTGTCCCGGCAATGCTTTGCTATTGCTAGATTTTTTTTTTTTTTTGTAGCTGAATTAACAAACAATATTCACTAGATACCATAGATACGTTTTTACTGTAGATACCGCATAATCAAAAAAAACATATTAATAATAACAATAATATTTACTTTGCTACCAAGGTAACCCAATCAACAAAAATTATACCACAAAATACCAAAATCCTTATTAGCTATCCTTTAAGGGTTGAATATTAGAAATTTCAATAGTTATAAACCTTCTCCGGACCACGCGGAACATTTTGCGAAAACCCCCGTTAAAATCGGTCCAGTAGTTTCTGAATCTATAAAGGACGGACAGTCATTATTTTGTATAAAATACTCTAATTTCATATTGAAAATAACTGTAAGAACTATTCAATCATAAAAGTTTTACAATTAATTGATCAATTCAGTTGTTCAAACACACGCGGTTTTCCGTGACAACCAAATTAACCAAGGTAACCCATGAATAAACAAAAATAAATAAACACTATTGGATATTCGTACTAAAAGTACCTGAAAACCCCTATTTTACCTCTTAGGAGTTAAATTTTCGAAAATCCTTTCTTAGCGGATACCTTCGTCCTAACAGCTATCTGTAAACTAAATTTCAGCCCGATCCGTCCGGCAGTTCGGGCTTGGCGTTAATGAGCTAGTGAGTGTATCGGACGTTTTACTTTATATATATAGATGATAAAATGTTGAGAAAAACTGTAAAATCACCAGTAGTATTGGTAAAATTCGGTCATGCGGCGGTTTTTATAAAAAAAAAAACGCGACACGATATTTCACCACGGCCGTTTTACCGCTGCAGTGGGTGGACACCAATACACGAGTTCCATTAAACCGCTACCGCTACCGCGGCAGTATGTGGGCACCTTTATTTGAATTTCACATTTTGTTATAGGATTATTTATTGTGTTTAATTATTATTAAGGTCTTGACTAATTATTCCGTAATCTGTGATATGTGTTAGTAATTGTTAATTTAATATATGGAGAAAGTTGTACTAGGCAAGGACGGCGGTCCGGCCCACCGGAATACCCGGAAGTTCCCGGTGGGCCTAACCTATTAGTTTTGTTGTTAGTCCGACGAGTGACGACTGTATTATGTTTATTTCACAATGTTTAATAAGTTTTTATTTTAATATTATACTTGGGTATTTAATTAATATTGTTAATATTAATATTTGTAAGCATTATAGAGACTTATAGACCTCGTAAACCTCGATTTAAAAAGTTGTTTACAGACATTTTTTCAGAATGTCCGAATACTGTGTTGTAGCCGGGCGCCGTGCGGCGCGCGGTGTTCGCTGAGTGAACCGAACAATTGGAATTACGATTATTTAACGTGGGGAATTCGGGACGCATTATTATTATTGTATATCTTTGTCCGAGAGAATAGCATGTCCATCGATTAAGTATACATGTCGGTATTGTCGGTTAACCGGGGAAAAAAAAAAATATACATAGACAACTCGTGTCATGATCAAATATGGCCGTGCTAAAATCATGGTCATGGGAACCAGATATACAGTAGTCTGGGAACCCGAAATCAAAAAGCGCTTTAATACGATTTCGGGGCGGACGTGTGTATTTCGTACACACACAAACATTCATAATCACAACAACAACAACAATAATAATAATAATAGTAATAAATAGGCGTATGTTATGTATGTATGATATGTTTTGGTTGTTTATAACATTCGTATAGATATATAATGTACATCGTAGGCGTAACCTATTATAGACAATTTATTCAGAAGCGTTTGATTATGAATTAATAATAGACGCTTTAGCAGAGTCGTTTTTGATTTTTTTGTTTTCAATTCAACATTTCAACCCCGTATTGTAATTAACGCTTCTCGTTTTTTCGGGAAGGTTTACTTGTTTAATTGGTCATTGTTTTAATTTCATTGTTGTTTAAATACGTAATTTAGCATTCAAATATACCGGCTTTACGAATTATGTATAGTAGAAGTGGTGTGAAATGTGCGTATTAATGATAATTGAATGATTGTAGCGAAACTGCCAGAAGTTATAATGGCTTTAAAATATATTTAAAATAATTTTTTCAATCAATCTATGAAATACAATTAAAAAAAATCTGTTACAAACATTTTACTTTTTTGGTTTTTCCGTTTCCATGTTTTTTTTCGCATGAATAAAACCCCTTTTATTAACTTCGCCCATCGACGTATTATCTTTAATTAATTATTACAATTGATAGTTAGCCGCGCGACGTTATCATTTCCCCACAAGGCCACAGCTCGCGTGCGCCAAAACGGTGACCTCGACGCACGCAATACGCAACCTTCTCGACTTCGACCACGTGTTTTTTTCTATTTTCTTTACTCATCCATCATACCACGGGGTACTGATACCTGCGACGAGCAATTTTCCATCGTTTTCCGTTCGCATGAAGCGGAATTATTTTGGGTGACATGATCGTGCAATACCTACCGACTCCCGGCGTTCCGCAGTAGTACGCCGGCCGAGTGGTTCGCCGACGCATTCTATAGTGTACCAACAAAATAAAAATTACGTAAAAAACCTGCAAATTTAAAATATCCATGCATAGTTCAACAATTTTACCACGTCTAGAAAAAGCAAATATAAGTTTTCTGTTAAAATTTCAAATATCTACGAATATTTTTAACTGAATTGTAGAAAAAAAAAAATTTTAAATAATAAAATAATTATTTTCGTAAATTGTCCCGTTTCTACGTAATATATTTCGGTTTTGCTCAATTCTTAAAAAAATCTATAAGAAAAATCAAAAAACCAACTTTCTTGGTCACTAAAGATTAAAAACCAACAAAAAAGATCCCTTGTGTTTTTCTATTGGAGCAATAATTACGGTAGAAAACATAAACCATACAAATTTTAAATATTTTACGCTGTCATAATTTGAAAAAAATTGTATTTTTTTTTTTTTTTTTTTTTCTTAATTATTATGAAAACTTAAATAATATTATATTATTACGTTCATTATAATAAATGTTGTTTAATGTGTGTTCCTCGAGAATCTCGATTATCAAACAGATGAAACACCCAATTGCACGTCCGGCTAAAAGTTAAAGAACACCGATTTATATTAAAACGCAAAATGTTCTATCAGGTGATCTCGTTCACAGATATATAAAACAACTAAGGGCACCCAAGAGGGGGGCAAGTGGGAGAAGTCCTTCCCTAGCTTTTCTGCAAGTTAAAATAATTATATCCAAATTTAATATCTCAAAATCTCAAAATTCGTTATTGGTACCAAGATACATTGATACTTATCAATACACCTTGATTGTTGCATAGTCAGTAGGTATACTTCGTGATAATAGAATTCGGCTAATTTATTATTGTTATAAGAAATGTGCTTTTTTGATCCAAGATATGGAACAAAATTTTTTAATGACTCTGAAATCGAAAATATTAATTCACTTATAAAATCTGAAATGGATTTATTTGGATATCATAATGGAACAATTCCTCAAGAAAAATCATCTCTATCAGGTTTGTTAAAAAAAACCTAATACTTTATAAAATAACAAAATTTTCAATATTAAATATTAATAATGTTTTTTATTAAAAGATTAGCTGCGTTTTTGGATTAAACATGTAATAAACATAGATCGTGTGCTACTGTCAGTTCATCAAATATAGATCAAAATTTGTTAGAATCAACAAGGTATTTGCAGCAACCAGAATTACCATTTGATGCAAATCCTCTCGAGTGGTAGGAAACTTACAGCAAACAATTCCCTACACTCAGTCAGATAAGTAAAACATATTGATGTATACCGGCTACTAGCGTATCAAGTGAGAGGGTTTTTAGCTGTGCTGGAAACATAGTAACCGATCATCGATCCAGCCTAACAACAACATCATGCTAAACAATTACATTTTTTATCAATGAATCAAAAAAATTCTAAACTAATTAAAAATATACTCGTATTCGTATACTGCTTGATCATAATAATTTAATAATTTAAATATTGTAATATTGTAATAAATAAGTAAATGACGATAATATTTAATTGTGTTTTCTTTTTTTATTAATTTAGTTTTATTACATTTCTTTATTATTTTGAAACACCGTATAAATCGAATAACCAAAAATACCGAAATACCGATATACCGTTCCATACCGGTATCAATAACTCAATACCGCCAGCCCTAGTTTAGTTTTATACCCACGTATTATATTACACATAATATTTTGAAATTTAAATTTTAAACATTTTAAATTATAATATAGTTTGTTATTACTTATTACTTAATGATAATATTCATCTAACATAAACTGGAGTCTATAAGTTAGTAGGTTCCTCGTCATTTAGTCGCGGTAAAATGAGAGGGCGTCATAAGAGCGAAATCAATTAGTTTACGTAAACATAATGAAAATTCATAAAAATAAATGCATACTTTAGCTGCAACAGCTCCAAGAGCAGCATGTGTAGATAATTGTGACGTGTTGGCGACTTTGTTTACTTCATTGACAAATTCTTTACATTTGAGTTTTGTGATATCTGATACATGGGTATAGTAGTACCAACTATTGATAATTACAGATCATAATGCTTGGTATACTGTGTTTCTGTATAAAAAAACAATTTTAAATTACTATTGTTTTTTTTTATTTAAAGATATATACAATCTGTTCCCTAAGGAACAATAAGAATATGATACTTACCTAAGGTGACCACATATTTTTTTTGCTGAAAACTGGACAAAAAAGTGAATAACCATTTTTACTACCTATAAACAAAACTTTTTTTTTTAATAATCATAAACAAAGTTATACACATCTTATTAAATTTTTACAGAACAAAAATGAAATTAATTATAATTAATTATTTTTTAATAATTAACTCATTTTTACAAAAGACGTTATTTTTTCGATTTAATAATTATAAAGAAAATTATATATACTAGTATAATTTTCGTTGGAACATATTTTCTTCAATAAATCCAATAACCGGCGACGACGTTTAAGAAGTTAACTACAAACCCGACCTTCCGCCGTGTACACAATTGATACTCCTTATTTATTTGTTTACCTTCTGAAAAATTGCGTCCAGAAGATTCCTCCCAGGAGACGACTGGACGTGTGGTCACTTAAACTTACCTATGGGATAATGGACATGGTTACATGAATTTATAGTATGATGAAAGAAGCCATACAGTAATAACAGCGTCAAACTACCATTATTTGATTGTTGTTTAAGTTTTAACCTGCGAAATCAGTTTCTGTTAAGGTATTTCGGGAGATTACTGTAGGGATCGAAAGCACGGTAAGAATAGATATGAGGGGGTTGATATGAGTTTTAGTGTAACAGTTACGCAATACATTTTGTCTTGATTAATTATTAACCCCATTGTACTGACCAATGAAAAAACGGTAAAAGCAAATTCATTAGCAATAACCCTGATACGAGTATTTGACTTTGCTGAAAGGAAATCGGACGTTTTAATTTCGGTTTCAAGCCTTGGTGCTTCTGGGTATGTCACTGCCTATAGGTACTAGAGAACAGCTCCGTCCTACAACAATGGGATCGGACCAGACCAAATATTTAAGATAATTTATTTAACCGGATTAAACCAATAAACTCCTAAAGTATATTTTACAATCCAGACCAATAATAATAATTGTTTGAACCAAGCTCACCGAGGTTTTAAAAGCCCGGATCAGCCCATTTCAGATTATATATTTGAAAAAAAAAACCAACCCGGACCAGGACCGTTTTTATTCGTTAATAAAAACCCGGACCAAGACAAATATGTCGATTTAGAATCCAAACCAATTAATCAGAAACCAGATTATTGTTTATTTTTCATGACAATATTAAAATATTTTAGTATTTTCGTCGTGGTATTAATATAATAAATATCTTGATTATAATAATAATAATCCGTAGGTAAATACACCGTACATAAAACAATATTACACGTTCGCAGTGAATATAATATGGTAAATTCGCAATAGGTACCTATTCGTGTTTTATTTTCTAAAATATCAAACCAAAATGTAATATAATTATATGAATATAAAGATAACGGGGTACTCTTAAATACGTTTGTTCAAATTATTGGAAAAAAAAAAAAAAATAATAACAATTATTCTCTATCTACTTTATGACAAATTCACAGTTTGATATAATAATCGTTGACTTTAGTTCATGAAAAATATTCACCAAAGTGCTTGATATTCGATAAACCATCGAAACATGCGCTAAAAACGTTTGAGTAATTGATCACAAACATCGTGAAATGTGCTGTGTACTTACTAAATATGCATAAAGTTTAGAAAAATATGTAAATACGTGAAAGTTTTTGCCCCAACAATAATAATAACTAGGTACCTATTGTAATCAATGTTATGATGTTATGTGGCGTGCGCTGTACGGACATGGTACATTATTATGGTCGATAAATGAATCAAAATAACAATCGATCAAATCATATCCAAATGTAAACATTCGATAGAGGTAAAACGTATTGATAATAGATTTCTTAAATAATATGCTTAATAATTATTACCTAGGTACTTGGAATAATAATTACGTAGGTACTTTGTTATTAATGAATTCTCACGCTTACATTTATGTTGGTGGAATGGAATCACAATGCCGATGCTTCTATGATGAACGGACAAAATTAAATAAAACATTGTTAGACATTCACATTACACAGTGTTATCGGTATATCGTAATACATTCGACAGCAAACAATGTTTATTTTCATAATTTCCTGTTTTGAAAAAAATATTGAATAAGCCATACCACTACTATATGTAATACCTAGGTATTTCTTTGAAGAGTTCTAATATAAAAATTCCACTAAAATCATAGGTTGTGAGATTGTATAGAAATTGTTATTGTAATAGAGTAAGCAATTAATGGGAGTGTTTTAGACAAGATTTTAGATTTCAATTGAACCGGCCTAATCAATAGTACAGTACTACAATAATATAACAATAGGAAATGGGCTTTTGTACAATATTGTGATTACCGGTTTTTTTGAAATTTATCATTTCATCATATGTATAGGAAAATATGGTGGTAATATCTACATTAAAAAATCTATTAAGGGGGGGGGGAATGCCTTACTGTACCAAAAATAATCTGGAGAAAGTTGTTCTACATTTTATCAGGAAAAAAACCCTTTTCCGCATTGTTCTTAATCGCAGTTATTATGGCTGCACTTGAATTGGTTCCCATACCCAAAAACTGATATCCAAGTTGGGTTTCAAAACTTTACAAAGATATTTAATCATCCGTGGGTTTGATTCGTTATTTTTATAACGTATTTCCATCCGATTTATAAATGTATTTCAACTAGCCTAAGAGATGGTTTTGTTATATTTTTGATTAAAATATAACAGAAAAAATAATATATTTTATTAGAAATTACCTAACAATTATTTTTTACAATGTTGAAAACAATAGGTAGGTATGCAAATTGCATAGTTAGAAACCTTTAACAAGTTGTGGAAGGTGGACATAGCTGGTAAAATTTGAAAGAAAAAAATAATGCAATTTTTGTTCGACCTGATTTCTACCATTGATTATAAAATAGTATTTACAGTCAATGGTAAAGTAAAAATAATATAATATGTTAAATACAAATTAAATATAGTTGTGTATTGATTCATCCCATTAATACATAATATGTACATATTATGATAAAAAAAATATACAAAAATAAATATCTAAATAAAGATTTTAAACATGTTACAATTGCATTAGGTGCCATCTCATGTTTAAAATATAAAAAAAAAAAAATACAATACAGAATATTTAATATTAATAAAATATATATAATAATCTCAACGACAAAATTTCTTATTTTTTATTTTTTTTAACAATTTTTAACCATTACATAATATTATAAGATAACCAAATATACTAAACTAACAATTTATCACAGTACTTATAAAAATAATGCATTTTTGTTACTCAAATCTGTTAAAATTTACTTTAAAAAAATAGATTAGGTTCTTTTACAATAATCGCTTTGTTGGTAACTATAAGTAATTTTATCTATCAGCTTTCACTGGTATATTATATTTTGCATTCGATTCTCTTGTTTAATTTAAAGTTTTCACATATTAAAATATTGGACAACAATAAATTAGTGTACCTAAATATCATTGCATATTTACTTTAAATTAAGTACATAACAAAAGTTTTTTTCATAAACTAAAACCAATGCTAAATGTACAATTTATTACCAAATAGTATTAAAATATGACTTTCAGTATTTACGATAGTTTACATAAAAAAAAAATAAAAATTATATCTTATTGATCTTCAATATTGTTAACTAATGATAATAAAGTTAGCTTAGTCTTTTAACACGTATGGTATTGTTACGGGTGTCATATAGACAACATATTTATATGTTCCTATAATACATTAACTATATATACAACAATATCCAGGAATGTTACTTCAACTAATGCAAAATGTAATAATATTTTAGATAACTGTTACAAATTAATAAAGCTTTTTATTGATTTTCAATCTTATATTAAATCTCTCTATCTGAAACTATTTCAAGTTTACAAACTCACTTAGCATTTAAAAACTGAGAAAACATAACTTGTAGATAACAAAACTAATAAATATATAAAATAAAATGTGATACAATGAATTCTGACTACTCTTTTTCAATCTACTGGCTATAATATAGTGTTTGTCATTTTTAATTAAAATTACACTAATAAAAATATAAGGAAAAAGTAATCATCAAAGTTAATTTTTGTCAACACCATAGAGTAGATTAATTTGATATTGAATAATTATTTCCTGAATACCTATATCCTAGAAAATTTAAAGATATATTATAATTAAGACGATGCTACCCCTGCATTAACCGTCTCCCGTCTTACAAAATATGGGGACAGCATAGCAAATTTGGGTTCAGTAGGACACTTTATGCCATTATTTTTAATATTAGAATAAATTGATCAACTAATTAACTTAAAGGCCAAAAATATGTTAAATGTGTTCCATTAGTTATTTTTTTCAGTATTTAAATTTTTAAGCAAGTGGGCAAAATATTAAAATTTAAAAATGCCAATATCTCACTTAAAAATTAAAATATTGAAAAATAAAATTAACATAAGAACACATAATATAATAATATTCTTACATTTAAGCTTAACATTAGATCAATTTCCTCTAATATACCAATGGCACACAATTTATTCTAATGACAGTAAATTTACTACAATTTCTTTGTTTGTAAAACAAGAATAATGAATGTGGGTATTGTGTCCTCTTAATTAATACCCAAATTATTTAGTATACCATAAGTATTTTGAATTGGTAGTGGAAGTTATGAAAAAGTATATACACATATTGTTGATTCAACAAACATTATTAAAACCAATTAGACATTAGTTAAAACAGAAGCTAAAAGATAGTCAATAGTAACATTTTAACATATAACAGCATATAGTTCAATTTAAAACAGAAAATAATTGTAATTTTATTGTAAATTTGATCATTTAGAATTAATAACATATATTATTAATAAATAAAACAGATAAGAAACCCACATTTCTTCCATTTTTATTATAAAACATTTTTTTTTTTTTTTTATGGGATGAATTATTTTTATATTTTTCCTAACAAAGACGTTCCATATTGTACTTTGATTAATAAAAATGTATACAACAAATCAACTCCAAACATCAGCAGAATATCTTTTCTGTTGTTCCATTTTCTTAACATAGTTTAGTGCTTGACTATTGGTCATTTGACCATTTTCCATGACAACCTTAACAATAATGTTATGTACGTCTTTGGCCATGCTCCTTGCATCACTAAACATAAAAAAATAAATAAATAAATACAATACCATATTTAAAAATTTAACACAATTTAATACGTACCCACAAACATATATGTGTCCATTTTTTACACCAATTATATTCCACAGTTCATCTGCATTTTTTTCTAATAAATGTGTAACATACAACTTCTCAGGTTGATCACGTGAAAAGGCCAAATGTAGCTAGAATATTAGATTGTAATAATGATCAGTTTAATAAATAATTGTTTGGGTAGCTTCTTAATAAAATAAAATATCAAAAGCAAACAATTTATGTTGGAAAACTTTGTAGGATTTATTTAAATAATATTATAATATTAAAAATAATTTAATAGCTTACCTTTGTTAATGTTCCATTTGTAACATATTCTTGTAACTCATCTTCGTAAATGAAATCTTCATTCTTCTTACGACATCCAGTATACAGAATCATTTCTCCGACTTCTCTGCCTGAATAGACAAAATTACACAAATACTTAGTGTGCAAAACAAATATTTTAAATATAAATTACAGACCTTCTTTACGTGCATAGTCTCTTTCTTGTATAAAACCTCGGAATGGTGCTAGTCCTGTACCAGGACCAATCATTATAATTGGAATTTGACTCTTTGGTGGTAATCTTTAAAAGAAAAATGTATTCAAATAGTTATTAAAAATAAAAATAAATATATATTTAAATTTACAATAACCTCAAATGTGTATATGAGTCGCTTACCTGAACTGAGATCGTCTAATATATATAGGTATAGTTGGTTGTGGCAGTTCATCATTAGTTTGTTTTAGTTGTGACAACAAGTTAGTTGCAACACCTTTATTGACACGACCAGTTGGAGTAGTATATTCTACAACTACTGCTGTAATGTGAATAGATTTTGGGTATACTTTTGGTGACGATGATATGGAATAATAACGGCATTGTAATCTTGGAAGTAGTTCACACAAATGATCCAGATCAGGCTTTACACTGGGTAAGTCTTCCAAAATATTTACAATATTACGGTTATCATGTAATATCCATTCGTGGAATTCCTTTTTACCCTCTGGTGTTGAACTAGCCATAAGTTTTAACTTTTCTTGATCCTTAAATAAGACAGATATAGGTAATATTACTATAAATACATATTAATTTTAAACATATATGATTCACCGCCATGATTCATAATATATATTTAAAAAAATAAACATACTTTTGGATCACTAGCATATTCCATTAATTCTTTCATGATATGTGTGCGAGGATTTGAAGTGATATCCAAGTAATAAGTTAAAGCAGTCCGGTAAGTACAAGGACAAGGAAATGGGTGTTTTTTACTAGACTCCTCTATAATATGTATAAATAATAAATAAGTTATTGGTTATAAACATTAAATAATATAAATTGTTTCTATTTATACCATCTGTATTTAACAATGAAAAAACCGCATCGAGATCTGCATTTAATAGTTTGCCAATTTTATCAACTAATTCTGAAGAATTCTTTGGATAGACTGCAACATGATCACCTGTATCATACCTCATCTTTGAACCATCAATATCAAATTCAATGTGCATGCATGAGCGATTACCAGATTTGTGTAGCTCTCGATTAACTACAACTTTGGCTATATATGGGTTCTTGACGTCAAATGGGCTAAACAAATATTATGTAAATAATTATATTATTTTCAACACATCTTAGTACAATTAAATAAATATTCTAATATGACTTACAATCTTTGGTTTACATAAGATTTAAGTCGTGATATTTCACCAGTAAATATTCGCTCTGGTAAAACTTCAGAACAGTCTACTAATTTGTATTGTCTAATATTACTTTCTTCACCAGTTTCTTCAATACCATAATGCGAACAAACACTTTCCCATAATTTTTCTTTCCAAGTAACAAAGTCATCTTCAATACTAAAGTACAAAATACAAACAGTAATTTGTTATTACCTATATGTTATACATACAAAGAATTATTTAAAATATTATCAGTGCTAGAATTTTAATAACATACTAATACTAATAACTACTATTTTTATGATAATACTTTAACAGTATTCTGCACATTTCACTTAATACTAGAAATAAATTGTAAATTGATTTATTTTTTTAAAGTATGATTATGCTATTTCCAAATAATAAATATTATGACATGCAAATTTTTTTTCAATTCCAGCATTGATAATATAATAATATGATTGGTACATTTTTTAAAAATAATTTAATCTATTCATTATTGATTAATATTTTAATACCAGTTTAAGATTGTACTGTAATAGTTTATATTTACTTGGCATCATCATCTCCTAGACCAATCTCGTGCACTCTAGTTGCACCTAATTCTTCCAAACGTTGATCTATGTAAATAGCAATTTCGTTATAGTGTTCATAAGTCTTGTTTCCTAATCCAAATACCTACATAAAAAAAGAAAGTTAATTTAAATGAAACAAATCTAGATTATGACTTAGTTATTTTGATTTTTTAAATATTTATAAAAATTAAAGATAAGCAATTTGTGTATGGGCATATATATATATATATATGTATATATGTATATATGTATATATGTAGGTATAAAATAAATCAATAAGAGAAAAAATTATTACATAAATTACAATGATGCATACGTCAAAGGCATATTATATAAAATAAACATTTTGAATAGTTTTAGAGAAAATAAAACAAAAGTATTTTCAAATGTTTTATTAGGGACTAAATTATGTAACTTTATGTTGTTACTTCAATGTAGTATGTACTTATTTATTAATTTCAAAATAATGGATCGATTCTCTGTAACTAATATTAATACATAATTAGGTATGCATAAATTGAATGCATTTGAAACCTAATCATCAATTCTATGCCAATAATAATTATTGATTGGATTAAAATATACATTTGTGAATTATTCATGAATGTCAAACATAAATAGGTTGAAGTAGGCTATAACTATGATGCGACCTCCATTTAACATCAAAGCAAATTAAATTAAATTGAATAAACGCATGTAGCCATTTTCTCAGATACCCATTTATAATAATAAGTATGCAAATTTAATATAAACAATGTTTTAAATTTCAAAAAAATAAAATTTCTTTAATTTTAGATAAACCTAAAATTTGTATTAAAGAAAATTAAATAAATAATATCAGGAATAACAGATTACTTAACATAAAATAATAATAATTTGAATTCAGAATAAATATATTAAAATACATACAGCATAATTTAATCCTTCTAGATCAGCATCGCCAGTTTGAAGCCATTCATAGAAATCCATTGCATTATCGGTAGGGTCTCCCTCACCATATGTTGCTATACAAAAAATTGCTAATGATTTTTGTATTTCTTTCATTTCCACTAAGTCTGCCTAAAATCATAAAGTAAAACATTATTATAACAATTTATATTTTTGTTAAATGCTATTTAACAAAATTGTGTGTCAATCATTTATTTTAAATTTTGTTAAATAAAATTACAAACCCATAATACACATTTGAAAAAAAAATTAATGATAAACATACAGATGATTGGTTAAGGCATAAAATGAGTTATTTTTTATTAGTTGAGAAGCATATTGTCTTTTGTGTACACCAATACTAATCAATTATATATATTTTTAGAAATAATTAAATGTAATCTTAAAAATGTCATAAACTTAAATAATAAATATACCTATTTAAACGGTGTGTCAAACAAATTAAAATACCACATTTTAAGTCTATAATAATTCTCTAAAAATCTAATAAAAATATTTTAAACACCTTTTCATACCTAGTAATGCTCAGCTTGGTATTAGTAAATATTTAACTGAATTTTTGCTAGTAACAGGAGTTGAATTTCAGTTTAAAAAAAGGTTAAAAATGTTGCATCCAGTTCTAATGTAGGCCACTGCTTTATTTAAGAAATTAGGTAAGGTAGGATATCATAGGATCATGTTATACATTGTATGACATGATAAATAGTTGCAAACAAAAAAGCATCCAGGTAAACATTTTTTGGTACATTTTAACTGAAAAATGTACTTAATTGTAACTACAAGATAAATTACTATTACTTATATTTTCTAAAATTTTCATCAAAATTTGAACTTTAAACACGTATATAAAAAAAAAATGTGATTACAGATTTACAATATTTTTATACTTCCTTAAAAACAAATTATGAGAAACCTTCTAAACAATTCTCGAGCATTTATATTTTATTCAAAGCTAAACAATTTTAATAATTGAAGCAAGAATTCTGACCAAAGACTTGTTTAATTAGAGAAAACAAACTACTACACAGTATACTAAAACTATTACATTCCTCGCTTTGCTCGAAATATCAAATTGATTTTTTTTTAATTAAATAGGCCATTACCTATTACCTATAGGCCATTATGCATTACCTTTAATTTTTTAATGAATATATTTAATTTATATATAATTATTTATTTAAATATTATTATAATGTATTACATTACAAGTTGGTTGTTAAAACTAGAGTACCTGTCAAAAAAACCCAGCAAATTTTTCAATACCTACACAGCTTTTTAACAGGGTCTTAATTTCCCAAACCCGACGACTTTTAATAAAAAGTTTACATTACTTTATCTAAATCTGTTAAAACTTCAACAAAATATTTATCAGTGATGTCAAGTAGAATATAGAGTGAAAGAATTTTTTAATGTGAAAGAAGCTTTTTCACAACCTTATTAATTATACAAAGAAAAATCAAATCACCATTACCCAGAAATATTCTATTTATAAATATGGAACATAAGCCAATTTCCAATGAAAAATTAACTACGTTTTTTACTAATGATAGTTTACGCAATAATTAAATATTCTTCAATTCGATATATCATATTATAATATACTAAAATGTATAGTAATACATTTTTTTTCACATTAAATTAATGAAAATGAATATTATTTAATATGTATATGTATTTAATACCTATAAATTATATCATATAATATGTAATAAAACTTTTTTCTAACCCAGCAACTGGAAAAAAAATGATATTACCTGGCACCCTATCAAATCTGACACATGGTGCAATTTTAGTTAGAACTACAAATAATTATTTGCAATTCTGTTAAGTCTAAAGTAGAAAAAAATACATATTTTAATTATAGATAGGAATCGTATAATTATGATAGTTTCAGAATAACCACAAAGTACTAAACTACTAACCTAACCTAACCTATTTGTTGAACATGTAGGTTTTTTACATAAATCATGATTAGGTAAAAACAACTATGAACTTAATAAATAAATGGTATGATAGATATTATTAGTAATAATTTAATATTTTATATTATTTAATAATACAAAAAATATAAAATAACATATATTATTTTATGTATAAAATAATGATTCCTAGTTCTTTAAGTTGTTTGAATATTTGTATAATTTAAAAAGTTTAAAATATTATTACAACCTAGATATTGTAATTACAATTTATTATTAAGTTTTATTTTATTTAACAGTCCTTATTAAAATATTTCTTGAATTATTTTGACAGTATACAGGTTTATAATAAAATGATAATTTGTAGTATACTATTTAAAGCACACATTGTATTGTACTCAGGTTCGTTCTTTAAAACTTTAGATCTAGGCAGATATACATTTTTAGATTTTGAGCAAAGCAATTAATGTATTGATTTTACAATGATGTTTATTATTATTATTTTTTTAAATCTGTAAACAACTTTTCTACCAATTTTCATGTGCAGTACTTTTTCTTAAAAGAAATATAATTGAGGTGATACTTTAGGAAGGTTATTTTTTGATTTTTCATAATAGTTAGGAAATTTTATTTTTTTTTGTTCTTTTGTTGCGTTTTAGTTAAAAATATCCATAGAGACTTGAAATTTAGATAGAGAACTAAAATTTTACATTACACTCAATTTTTTTTTACCATGGAGCACGGCTTATAATAAACTTCCTGTTAAATTTTCAAACATTTCTAATTGGTCTAACAATTTTATCCACAGAGTACTTATCGAATAAAAATTACATAAAAAACTCCTTAGCTTAAAAATGGCTTAAATGTCTTGACAATTTTACCATGTTTAGAAAGACAAATATAAGTTTCCTGTCTAAATTTATTAATTTAATAATACATTTCGTATAATGTACTGTTTTTCCGCAAATATTATGAAAATAGCTCGGAAAATCAAAAAATGACCTTATTAAAGTACTATCCAGATAAAATTTCCTTTCAGAAACATTACTATACATGAAAATTGAAGTATAATTGAGGGTAGAATAGTTTATAACAGAACATAAAAAATATATAAATATCATTGTAAAACAAATAACTAGCTGTGGTTATAATCTAAACTTTCAAATAAAAATTGTTCATGAATTTTGTTAATTTAAAGATCTATGATTTAAATATTAAAACTGAGTTAATATTTGAATATCAAATAATTTAACATAGGTAGTTTATAAGTATGCAAGGACATGTAAAGTTAATACTTTATATACTATAATGTTGAACCTATTGTAATTTTTAATTATTTTAAAATGAAATAGCATACAGGGAGATTCATTAAGCGTGCTCATCCCATGTCTGTATACTTCAATTTATGAATTTCTTTTATAAATACAAATTTTAGTTTTTTAAACAAGAACCTATATTAAAAATTCCATAAATAGTGATAGTTAAAATAAATTTTGGTGTTGACATATTCGATTTCCCTTAACTGTCACGAGATATTCCACTTTTAAGTTTAGACAGGGGGAGAGTAAAGGAGCATAATTTGTGTAGTGGCACAGCGTCTGATATTTGAATAGTGCACCACTAATTTCTCTCTGCCTAAAATAAAAGTGGAATATCTCGTGAAAGAGTAAAATCAAACATCTCAACACCATTTTTTTACTTTAACTAATACTCTATCTTTTTATGTAATTGTGAATATAGGTATTCATTTGGTAAACCCAAAGTTTGTATCGCCAAGACACCAACAATACTTCTTAAATGTTATAAAAAATTTAGATATACGAAAATATCTTCTTTAACTACACTTAAAAATTCTAAAAAAACAGAATTTGAATACTTGCAACATTTACTCCTGAAAACTGGGTGAGTGTGCTTAATGAATCACACTGTATAATTAATACAAACATATATTTTAAAACAATGAGTGCCTTTTATTAAATTATCATGGATAAACATACAAGTATAATACCAGAGTACAGATTTACTATAGACTAGTTTTTTGATACTACAAATTTTAATCTTGAAATAATGAAATGAATTATAAATATGTTTTGTTCTATTTTTAAGTATTATACATTTTTGCTTATGAATGCAGAATATTTTTTTTTGTGTCTGTGAGCCACTTTCAATTAGAAAACTTGATACAATTAAAAATTGACAAGAGGTTATTTTTGTTATATTTTATTAAATCTAGTTGAGAGCATTGAGGAGATCGTTTTTTTGATTTTCCAAGAGATTTTCATAATAATTGTGGAAATCGAAAAAATAAATGATAAGCGCTATTTCGGATTTAGTAATAGGTTAACATTTTTTTTTTAATTAAAAAAAATATTGAACATAACACAAGTTATTGCAGTTGTCAGATTTCTTTGGGATTCTTTTGAGAATACAATTTATTAAATAAAATTAAATAACATAAACTCGATTTTGTCGTTTTAAGCAATAATTTTAATTTTTAAAAAAAGAGCCGATAAAGGGATGGGAGCGGCCACTGTTGTAGATGGGAACTTGGAAAGGTAGGATACATAAGGTTATTTCATTTATATCTGTAAGCAACGATAAGACATTGCTTGACGAAAGACCATTTCATAGCAGTTCGGTAATACATAATTTGAAGTGCTGTAATTTTTTTTTTACGATTTTCGTTTAAATTTGATTTCAAAACGTTTATAAAAAGAAAAAATCGTCCGATGATTTTGAAAATTTTATTATGTCTAGGTATGTCCAATATAAGTAATATTACTAAGTTTCAAGTTTTTACGTATATTTATAATTGAATTACAGCAAAAATTAAAATTCCTTAAAAGTTCAAAAGTGGCTCAAAAGTTTTGGAGATGATACTGTAAGAAAGTAAATCAAAAAGGCAACAAAAAAGGGGTCTTATGATTTTTCAATTAAATCACTTTTTTCTAATAGAAAATGTCATCCGTGTTTTTAATAAAATAATGAAATTGTTTGTTTTCCAACGTTTTTTCCTACTTAAGTCCTTTTATTTAAGAATGGCATCGAAAATCAAAAAAATTACCTATTTAAAGTACAATATAAACAACTTGAGCTTTCATAAAAGATGCCACACATAAAAATCGGAGAAAGTTTACTAGGAAAAAAGGGTCTTCACACAAAAACGCAGAAAGAAAAAAATAAACATTTTAGTAAAACCAGTAGCACCTCGCTATGCTCGGAATCTAATAAAAGAAAGATTTATTTCTAGAATTAAATTAATTTATTTTGAAATTTAAACGCGGGATCACTATGCTTGTAGTCTAAAACTACAATAGGTAGTATGCAATAATATGTTAACAAAAATATTATCAGAAGTCTAAATAATGATGTATTTTTTCAAGGTATTCTACATATTATTTTTCATTTTAGTAAACATTTCCTGCTTTACTATTTAATAAAACATTATAATGGGTTCTACTTCTAAGTCATACATACAAATTTTAGACCTTAAATGGATATACAATGACTACTAATTAATACTAAATAGAAAACATGTATAGTAAGCACCTATATTGACTTTACTTTTTATAGAAATTAAAACTTAAACAATAACTAAGATTCTGGTTAATATGAAGTTACCATATAATTTTAAAATCTTTTATCACATTCTATTATAATGGAATATATCTATAAAAAATAAAAGGAAAAACAAAAATTAAAAACGGTTATTTTTTAGCATGATTATGAACTCTGATATTATTTATGTTTCAGTTATATAACTATAAAAATCATAATGTATCACAGATAATGTTTACACAATAATTTAAAAAATAAAACTGTATTAAACATTGCAATTAAAATGTATGTATTATATATTTAAATTAGTAAAGTAATTAGGTACATAATAAATATATTATAAATAGAAATACATTATATGTCACTTATTATTTTTTTTATAAATTAAAATACTTTTTATATTGTTATATACATTTCATTATCGATAAATAAAAAGATCTGATGACATTGAATCACTAGGTAGTATTATTATATATAAAAAACCTTGTATTTTATTATCATTATGATAGATGACCTCCAACTTATATTTCCATTGAAAATTCTCAATTTTATATTTATTGTTTTATGCCTAATAATTTCACAAATCATCAAAAATCTAACAATTGAAATAAATTTATTTATCATATATATTATTCAATATATATAGGTACATAATATAATTTTAAAAATATATTGTGAACATTTATAGTATATAAAAATAACTTAGTAATGATAGTTTCAAAACTGTCAAAGATTTTAATCATGCAATTGATGCATTCTTTTAAATCAACATTTGAATAATGTAAAAAAAAACATTTTTTTAGTTGCATGGTCTTATTTTTTTAAGTTGCATAATAATAAGACCTAATAATAAATACAAATTAATTTGTTAAATATATGACCAAATTATTTAAATATTTTAAATATAAAAAAAATAACATTACCATTTCACATTCTTCAGGATCAGCCACCATTCCTTTCATTTTATACCTAGCACCTTCCTTGGCTATTCTGCCTGCAAATTCTTCTGCAGTTCCAGTTTGACTTCCATAAAATACTACCAAACTACGGCCCGTAGATTTTAATTTTTTTATAAAGGAACTATTGGAGGTCTGCTCCATGGGACTGATTGTGGATGGTCTGAAATTTTCCAATATTCAATAAATTATAAAATGTAATTTTATACATAACAAAAATATGAAATGTTAGAAATACAAAGTAAAATATTAATTATAATTTTTTCTTTTTGTGATAAACCAGCAATTATATATATAGATTTTGAAGCACATTTGTTTTCAGTTATATTTCTCTGTCATAATGAATCATTTAAGGATTTTAATATGTTTTTAAATCTTACTCCTGTTCCATAAAGATATTAATTACCTTATATTTTTATTATCCTTAATAACAGTTTAGATTAGATTTTTAGATTCAATAAATAGGTATCAAAATATGAAATCAAAAATCAAATAATGTATCAAATTGAATAATCTTAAAGTAATTTGAATATATGCCAATTTCAAAATTTGTTGACGTTTTTCAATTCAATGTTTTTAAAAATATGTCTAACAAAAGATAAAGCTTAAAAATGAAAGAATACAAACGTCATGTAAAAATTATAAATATTATATTATGCATTGTGCACCTATGTAGTATGTATTCCAAGTGCCAATTTCAATAAATTAACTTATATTTGAATTAATATAATATACAAGAGAGGTAGAATGTAAGTATTCCATTTGTTCAGATCAAAATACTATGAATACAAACTCATATAATAAATTATTATACCATGTTCCACGAGAATCTAATTTAATCTAATTTAAATTGATAAAATAGGTAATAGAATTTGCATTATTGCTATCACTTTGAAATTATATAAGTCTCCATGAACAAATTTTTTATCTATTTTTTATTATAATAACATTAATAGCAATACAAAAAAAAAGAATAATTTTCTTGAATATTAAAATGAACTACAAATAGCAGAATTGTATAAGTTAGAATAAAAGAGAAGAGAACACGTCAGAATATTTTGAAAATTATACTACGTTTAGAAAAGGTGATTATATCAAATTTGATAACAATTTTAGGTCTCTGCAATTACTTTTGTTTAAACTGCATAAAAATTCCAGTGTTTAAAAAAATTACATGGACCAAGTTAAAATAAATAAATTCTGTTTAATAATTCTTTCACCATAAAATTGTGTTCAGAAAATGTATGGCTCCTCTAGTTTTTACAAATTTTACTAAGGCTCAAAGTAATACTTAAACTAACAACTATTTTAGGAAAAATAGATCTTAAATATATACTGTTATATATTAAACAATAAAAATAAGATTAATATTTCAAACAAACTGTTTCATTGGCAATTTAAATAAATTTTAAAATTAAATAACTTAAGTACTTATTTGAATTAATTTTTTTTAAACTGAATAAACATATTCATAAAGATTTTGTATAAATATATGATGACCTAAAAAACTAATACCACTTTTGTATTTGTTAAAATACTAATGGATAGAAAATTTTTATATTATATTGAGATAACATAAATTATCAATTCATAATATTGTATTAACGTTATTAACATATAACAATTTTATTTTTAACATAATTTTAATTTAATTCCTTAAAAATAGACCTAATCAAATTCAATATAATAGTAGTAAAAAAACCTAATTAAATTTAATTTAGTTGTTTATAATATTTAATATGATCAGTAACTGAAAGTCCATGAAAAAGAAATATTTAAATTAGCTATAAAACGTTACTATCATTGTTATATTTTGATGTTTATTATTTATAGTTATGCATACAGTCTATAGAATTGAAGTAGAGGATGGAAAATGTAAAACATACATGTAAATATAATAAAAAAAAGTATTTGAAAAACATGATATAAAATTTGAATAAATAATAATTTAATGTTTAGGTAGTTTTTTATAGTATAAGAAAAATAACATACATAAAGGTATAAGGTACATTCAGTTTTTCTTTTTGTGTGAATACAAAAAATAATTATGTAGAACAACTATAATATCTAAACCATGCAACTAAAATAATTAGAGAAAAATAAATATTATACTTACTGAATAGTGTAGGGTTTCTTTTCTGGTGAACTAGACTGTTTATCTCTTTTGAAGTACCAAAAATATGCCACAGTCATAATTACAATAAAAAGACCAATGTCTAAAATACTAATCAATGGCTCTTCTGATACGGAAGCAGTCTCTTCAATTTTGACTCCGTCAGGGTTTTCCATTTTTTCTTTTTATTTATCTATATTAATTAGCAACTGAAAAATAAAATTTAACAGAATATATTTTAATTTTCAACATAAAATAATGTTTTTTTCAAGTAACATTAACAGTGAGTATTTTTTTTTTTTATATACTTTAAACTAATAAGTAACCAAAACTATATATTATTAAAATCCATGGTTAATTACTAATGGTGACAGAATAGGTATCAATTAAATTAACCTTTTATTTGACCTTGTAAATTTATACTAATTAATCAAATATTGTTGACAAACATTTGAAAAGTTGTACTAAAATTAAAATCAATTTTGTACTTCTATAAATCATCTACTCATACTACTTATACTTAATATAAATTGGTTAATATTCCTGTATTTTATTTTTGATACATGATTAATTCTTATTTTATTTTGTCTCTTAAATATGTCCATGAGTCATAATAAAATTTAATGTCAAATATTGGTTTCCTTTGAATTTTTAATTTGTGTGAGCTTTTTTTACTTACACATTTAAATAAATATTTAGGTATCTAGTAAATTAATAAAATATGATTATTTTTTAAAGATTATAATGAGGTTGTCATAATTTATAGTCTTGTAAACGTAAACGTTCGAACTATAGAAACTGTACTAGATTACAGTGTCATAAATAACATTTTTTTAAAAATTGATTAAATGTTCTAAAAATACATTTTAATTTTAGTTTTTGAGCAAAACTTGTAATGTGTTTTATTCTTAAAACAATTTCAAATCCAATAGTATCTTACACATAAACTAAACATAAAGACACTATGCATATTATCAATGTGGACCCCAAATATTTTACACAAAATTATTTTAAAAAAACTAATATAATAAGCCCCTATTATTAATTATATAGATTTTCTGATAGTGTTGAGGGACTGATATTTCATGTTATGCAAAGGATCAACTTCCGGAATTCTCTTAAAAGATCACCCTCCCCCCACCCCCCAAAAAAAAATTGCTCATTAAAAAGTATTCAGGTGGTTGGCAAATCACTTAAAAAAAAATGATATAGTACATTGAGTGTACATTTTAGTTTTATTCATTTAACTATACACCTAATTGATAATAAGTTATTATTTTATAGTTAGTGATTGATTGTGATATTACATCAGAGGTGATAGTTATGTAAAAACAAGTCAGAATTTATAGATACCTAATTATACACAGTGTCCTACAATGATCTGACATTTAAAATAATTTTTTTTCTATTAAATATTTTTTATTTTTTAAAATAATATAATTAACAATTTACAAATTTTTATTGTGACTCTTTAAATTATTTATCATTTTAATTTTTCGTCTTTTTTTGATTTTACCTAATTATTATTAAAACTACTTGGAAAATCAAAAAATGACTTTCTAAGTAAAAAATTAGATTTAAAATTCAAGAAAAATATGGTCTTACGTCATTTTTTGATTGCAGCAAGATTTTAATTGAAGAAACATTATAGTAGAAAACACAAGTTACAAAAATGTAAAATTATGAAAATCGTTATGCCGTAAATATTTGCCCGTTTATCCCTACGTTTTTTTCAATTATTATGAAAACAGCTTAAAACATCAAAGGTTAAAAATAACCTCCCTAAAGTAACAACTAGATAAAATTCGCTTTCAGAAACGGCGCTACGTTCGATACATTGGACCAAGATTTTCGCTAGAAATTTAGTACACAGTATAAAAAAAATAAAAATAATCATCGTTGTAAAACAAATACATTCATTGCTACGCTCCGAATCTAAAATATATATATATTAAAAATATTGAATAAAACAAGTTATTTTAAGTGTCAAATCATCATGGCACATTAGGGTGAAACAAAACAAATTTTTTTTTCGAGGGCGTATCTTTGTATTTTATTTGTACAGGTGTTAGAATTTCATTGACTCTTGTTTTAGGAAAAAAAAAAATCAAGATGAATAAAAATGTTATGAATCATCAGATTTTATAGTACCAGCCACCAGGTCCTATAATTGATAATGAGAGAATTATTATTGACAACGTTATTAGCCGCAAAATGTACAAATTTACATAATATTAGACATTGGTACATCAATCACCAGAAATTACTTTTGGAAAAAAAATGTGTAAACAGTATTTTGCGTTTCACGCTAATATCTATGTTAATTTGGATTTCATATCATTTTTTGTTCAGCGATAATTTAAACCATCGAATAAAATAGAATATACAAATTACGTTGTTCACCTAAAATTGCTGCTTATTGTTAAGTAAATAAAATGTAGATACACTCGTGAAACTTGGTTCACCGTTCTCAGTAAGGTTTACTGTATACCAAGTATAACTTGGTAAAGCGTACAATACAATGTTAATAATTTGAGATCCATTGAGCATGAATCTTTTAGGTTTAAATTGTATTGTTATAAAAACAAGTTTAGATTATGTTTATTTGACTACACTTAGTTATTTCCGATGCATTGGTAGGTATTTAATAATACGTTCTGTATGCAGTACAGCCTAATTTTTCTATAATTAACATACCTATTTTGAAAATAATTAGCAAATTATACTACAAATAATATGTTGCGGAATACAGTTTTTACTAGGTACCTATTGAAGAACTTAATGATGTGGTAGTAATTAGATTAGCTATTAATTATTATTTACAAATTTGTCCAAAGAAAAATGACTTAAAACTGAAAAGTAAAACAATGCAATTATATGTTACAAATAATGTACATATAACCCCATATTAATTATTAATTCACTAGGTAAAATGTTTAAAAATATATCATATAAGGTAAAATTAATAATAATTATAGACTAAAATATAACAATGTATTTTACATGGTTACCTATCTATAAAATAAATAATAAATAATTATTTAATAAAATAATAAAGTAAAAGTAAAATTGTTAGTTCCTGAATAAACGACTTTACACAAATACCTACAATATCATAAATAAATAAAAATAGTTTAACATATCATAGGATTTAAGTAGGTGCCTAAGTAATTTCAGTTGATTAATTTACATATAGGTAGTACAATATTAGGCAAGACAAACTTTAAAATAGTTAAGTATAATTTATAGGATATCACCTTTCTTTTTTAAAAGCTTATTAAAACTATACTTAGTATATCCAATATTATACTAATATATTATTATTATATAGATATCGGTTATATATTACGCGCAAAGAAATTATTTAAAAATTCCATAATACCAATCTATTTTTCTAATTTTAAATTTTAATATTAGGTAAATATATTTATTCTATATTGAATTTAATTTGTTATATAGCAGAATATGTAAAGAAATAGGTTCCTACCTACATAATATTTTAAATGATGAAATCTTCCATAAATAAAACTGGGGTTTTGATTTGGCTAAATACCTACCTATTTATTTTTAATTCTCCAATGGCATGATGTCTATAAATATAGATTAAGCAATTGTAATATTTTCAAAAATCGAAATTTTTTAAGTACATCATTAGGTATAAAGTAATGATGCTAATATAAAATCATTTTTTTGTTTTTATGATTCAATGATAAAACTGTATTCAATTATAACTTTGTCTAATCAAATCTGCATTTAGTTCATAGATATATATACACATATATAGATTACAATTATAATTTACAGTGAACATCATTGTAGAAATTATAAAATGATAGTTACATAGATGGTAGGGAATAAAACATAATTTTATTACCTACATTTAATTTTCACAAATCACCTGATAAAAATCCTTCAACATAGCAAAAAAAAATCCTAACACTAATACCAATGTTGGTATTACGGTTCAAAAATAATTATTATTCAATTAATAAATAGCTATATTGTCATTTAATGAAAAACTGTTTACCAATAAGATCTAGTATATTATAAAATAATAAGAATTATAATTATTTTGATAAAAACATGTTACTAACTGATTTCAGTGGACAACAAAATATTTCACTAAAAATCAACAGTAGATAGGTATCATTTGATACTTGATTGTACTTTATTTACTGTTATAGATTAATTTATGAACATTAAAAATATATTAAATTAATTTAACTTTGTATGATATATTTTAAACATTTTTATCATTTAATGTTAATAGTTTAAGTATAATATATTAGGTATAAGTCAGTTACTCTCTCCCTAACTTATCTGAATAAGACACATAAACTGTTTTTAAAATTGATGTCGTCCAATAGGGTAAGTCTACATTTTATTGATCAATAAAAATATACTAGTTTTAGAGTAGGTATCAATTGACTTTTTTTGAATAAGTTTTATTCATAATATTCATAAATTGTAGGTATTTATTTTAGTATTTATGAACTCAAGGAGTTGGTAGGTAAGTATCTAGAGTATAATGTTTCTATACTTATATTTCTAAGTTTTATTTGAAAACTCATTTTACAAATTTTTAAATTTTGCTATGTTAAAAAATGGTTGATTAAAGATTTTATCTAACCAAATACTTTAATAGTATCTACTTGGTAGGCAAAATATTTATCATTCAATAATCTACTTATGAATTATTAGGTACTTTATAATATTGTATTTATAGCAATAAGACTTATAATTTTAATATTAATGGATTCGTAAAAGTACATATGTTTCTAGGTACAAACAAATGATAAATATTACGAATGTAAAATTATTTTAAATAGTTAGGTAGGTATTTGTTATTAATACCCGGCACTAAATATTATATCAATAAACTACAATTCAAGTCTGTAGAATAGTGAATACCTACTGTGTCAATTTGATAATCGAAAAAACTTTAAATGCAGTTTACATAATATATTAATATTAGATACACTGTAAATTTAAGTACAAGATATGTTCATAGATGATAAAGAATCTTTATATTATCTATGGTTACCTAAATTATTACTATAATTTATAAAAAATTTGACAAATATATTACCTATATTGTTTGTCACTAATTCTAACAGTTTTAACTAACAATTTAAAATAGCCGATAGAATAGATAAACAACATAATCTTGAAGTCAACTGTATATCTACTTAGAAGTTTATACTTAGTCTTACACTTATATTGTATGTATGTACACTGTACAGTGCAATTTTTTCAAAATATGTAAAGTAGAAAGCTTGCTCATTATTTCAAAAACCTATTAACATTTTTTAAAACAAAACAATAAAGTGAAAAACTAAAAGTTAAATTGGTTATGTAGGTGAAGTGAACGGCTTAGGTTGTTTACAGGGACCTAAATGTAACATTTTTTTGATAATTCTAGTTGGTTTTATCCCCTAAATTCGTCCATTTACCTACCACTAATTCTAAAGGGTAAATCACTGATGAATATGGTGAACTAACACCAGATCCCATGATTTTCAGAAACATTAACAATATTTCCTATGAGATTACAAAACATTTTTGTGATAACGAACATTTGTACAATGATTTCCTTTTGTGATTTACCCTGTAAATAATTCTAATTTTGACCATTTCAATGAAAATGGTATAACAGTGTAGAGAAACTTCTATATTAGTACCATAATATTTTGTAACTTAACTTTACCTATAGGTAAATTACTTTAGTATTGTTAGAACATAATATATTTTGTGTTGGAGAGGTTCTTTAGTTTACACCCATTGGTTAATCTTTTAATGATCAACACATAATAATACTTGTTTCGTTTGTTTTTGTAAAACCAGTTATTCAAAAACCGAAATAGTTGAACTTTCATAATACTTACATAATGTTTAGGTAATCAAGGGGCTGTGAGATAAGAGGTAGGACGCAGATAAGTACCTACTATCATAGAACAATATTAATTTATATCTATGGTATGCGCTACCGAATTGTGTTGAGAATTTAAATTGTTCTTTACACAACTAAAATTCTTAAGACTGCAAACATTTGGTATCTCTATTAGATAAATAAATTGAAACGGCAACAAACAGGTTGAACAATCTGGTAATCGTTGATCAGTCGGGATCGGTAGTTCGTGACGATACAAGACTGAATGAATATAGCCAATATAGGTAACTAATTGTAATTATAAAATTGGTCAGTAAACCTTGAAACGAAAACGTTACCTATAAGGTATTTGACAACAATAATTATTCGAATCACGTAAAATGATAGGTGTCAAATATTATCTAATCAGTACGTAATCAAATGGCGAGCAATCTACTTTGCACAATAACAATGTGGCGTATTATGTTATGATCGTGTCAAACGGACAAGGTAATTACATTGCGATTTGTCGAATACACGATATTTGGTTAAGAATTTAAAGTCTTATCAGGAACCCTTTTAAACGGGCCGAAACACACGAAGCTGTGGCTAATGATATTATTATACCTACATAGATTTAAAAATAGGTTAACAGGTCTACGATTTGTCCGTAATAATAGGTACACGGTACCAGCTATCTACTTATCTGCGTAGTTCCGTAATATTATTATACACCCGTTTCCCCCCTGATAAGACGAGTCGAAATACGAGAAACGAAGCATATTATTATCTATATGGTATACGGAATAATATTGACCGTCACACGACTTACTGGTTCGACGGTGTGTGCGTGTGTGACTGCAGCTGGTTAGTGGCGCAGTCGTATCCGCCGAGATAAGAATATTAGGTATTGATAATTACTATTATTATCGACGAAAGTCGACCGTATCTCGTGGTCGTGGTGCGTCGTAGATGGCGGCCGATAAAATTACCAGGATATACCCGACGACGACGACGACTGTAATATCACACCTTCGGGGTAACAACAAAAAATCGGACACGCGTGCGCGGCGGAGGCCGAAACGAAACTACAACACAATCTACTGCGATATTATTGTAATGGTGTACGGCGAGTAGGTATACTGCGGCGGCGGCGGCGGCGGCGGCAGCGGCGGCGGCAGCGGCAGCGGCGGCGGCGACGGCGGAGGTGAGACGATAACGGCAGGAAAAATATATACACAATATTATTCAATCGGCCGCATCGAGTTTTAGCTGTCTTAATATCGTTGTTGTTGTTGTTGTTGTTTGCGTTTCCCTTTTCGACGATTTCTTTCGCGTTTTTTTTTTTTTTGTTGTGTTTTTTCCGTTCTTCGCGTCCGTACCGTTTTACGACCGGGGAACCGTCTGGGTATTACAGACGCGTATAACGAACGTTTGTCGTGTACGGCCGCGTATGCGGTGTGACGGTCGAATCGCGGTCGTCGCGAAATCGGCGGATCGCACGCTATACAGGCCGGGACGCCTGCAATTTAAATGCCCGAAAACACCGGATGGCCGGGCGGTCTGGACGTGGACTGTCAATATTGCCGGTGTGTGTGTGTGAGAGTGTGTCGGTTAGCATCGAGCGTGTTGTTGCACGGTAGTCGCGTCGCGCACGGCCGCGGACCGAATTTATATAACAGCGCGTGTGTGTACGCCCGCCAACTATAGCGCGTACGATAATTGTTAGCTGTGCGTACGTTTGTAATACCCGCAGAGGTAGGTCCCTACGCCGTAATAATGTTGGCGCGCGCGATTTCGTAATTTTACGCAAGCGGGGCAATCGTCGCAGACGGTGGACGGTATTTTAATACAGACAGCAAAAAAAAAAAAAACTGGTCGAACCGATTTCGCGGGAAAACAAACACGACGGCGGCGACGCGGTTATTCGCGGATGCGCGCGGTATTGTCGTATCGGTTTCCGACGGCGATTACATCGCGAACGCTACGGCATCACGGCAGCGTGCGGCAATTCTCCGCGCAGTTGCTGTGCCGTCGGCATAACGTGCGTACACGACATTATCGCAATTGTGCACGAAATCGCATGCCCGGCCTCGGCTGCCCCGCGCGCGTACACGTACGCGCCCACCGCCCGGAAAATTCCGGCGGTACGTCCGCAGTCGCACGCGCAGCCCGACAAATTTCAGCGATAATTGTACCGGCGGGCGTCCGCCACGCGACGCAATCGTTTTCCACCGTTGACCGGGCGCGTCGATGACGATAGCAATTGATACGATATTGTCACGATTGTTTGCGACGCGAACGCGTGATGTCACGACGAAACCGGCGTACGTCACGAACCGGTCCTCGCCCGTCGCTGATAACAGATATCAGTGATAACGCGAAATCGCAACAACTGCGCGCAGAGCAATAGGCGTGTAGATGGTAAAAGCCACCATCTACACGTCTATGCTGTCCCATCCGACCTTGCCGACGTGTTGTAGCCATCCGAGATACAAAATAATAATAACGTACTGCTAATTACAGATGTCCCCGTGGTTGAATTTCAACGAGCACTAGTTAAAAAAACTACTTGATTTAGATTCGGACCGTAAGCGAGGAATGTGTTTGTTTTACAATGATGTGTATTTATTTTTTTTCTGTCTGCAACTTTTCTACCAGAAATTTCGCTCCGATTTACAATGGTAAGGAGGTAATTTTTCGATTTTCCTAGGAGTTTTCCCAATAAACGGGAAAAACCGGAAGATGTACGAAATGTAAGTATTAATAAAAAAAATTAATACTGTATGTCCGTCTTTTTTTTTACTAATTTACTACAGGTATAGAAAAAACAGATAATCAGTGACATGAATTAGTATTTAAAATGTATAATTATAAATAATAATTAGGTACACATTGCATAATTCGTGTAGAGCTAAGTACTTCTCAGAAGTTATTTTTAGAATATTCTACAACCTGTTGAGTCAGCAATAGTTAGTGGCGTGTGGTCTTGAAACAAGAAACAGCCAGTGATGGCACTTCGGCGTGAGTTTATAAGTTATTTTATGTGAATTCAGTTAATAAGGCACTTGTCGTTAAACCTTCTTTTTTTTTTGAGGGGGGTACAGGGGATGGAAACAGAATGTAGTTTTAAAACAAGAGGATTGGTATGATTTTGACGGTAATTCCTAAATGTTGAGAAGTGCAGCTTGGCTGTAGGAATGTAGAAATATATGATTTAAGATATCTGGAGGCGCATTAAGTACTTATTAGTCTGAGGGTTTATGGTTAGAGAATTTGTAATTTTTGTGTGTTGATTTTTTTGGCAGTGTTCCTGATTTTAATGCCATACTTCCATATGGGTTTAAGTAAGAGATGATAGATTTTAGTAGGTAAAATCGTTTATTTAATTTTTCGATATGGTTTACAATAAGTTCTTAATTAAGAAAATACAGTTATTTACGGTTTAGTATTTATATACTTGTTCAAAACCTACATGTGATGAGTAGTAAGTAGGTTACTATTTTCAATTTTGTATTGACAATACGCACTATGTTTAAATTAAATACTAAATACAATGTTTTTGAAATGATTCTGTTATAGCTTTTAATAAATATTTCTGATTTTATAATTCAAACATTTTGTTTATTATAATACTGTTTTTCAGTTTTTACATATTATTATAAAGTAGAGTAGATGGCATCTTAGTAGTGTATTTTTTATGCACACCTATTTAAACTCACTATATTTGGTTAACAGTTACCTGTTAAGTAACTATAATACTAATAGATACCTATTAAAATAAATAACAATGTTATGTATAAATAATTTACTCTTTTTTCAATTTAATAAACTTGAACTTGAACTAGTTAATTTTTAAAAATAACTTTCCTTCTGTGCCGTTGTGGTAATATGGAGAGTGCGATTATATTGTGATTATAATGATAACCCATGAGAACTTTTTATTTTATTGTGGCGTTGTTGCGTCTAACGATTATTACTATGAGATTCTTTCTTCTCGTACCTATATCGCTTACAGGATTTAAAAATAAAGTCAAGGCTACATAACTTACCATTTTCGATGGTTACTGACATTTTTCCCGAATCAAATTTTCCAAACAGCCTTTTTCTCTGTCTGTTTTCCCAAATAATATATTTAAAGTAATAGTAAAAACAAAAAATTATCTACTTATATAAATTATTAATATTTAAGTTTCCAAAATTAACTAAAAATACATACATATAAAGTTTAAAATTAAGTTTGTCATAAAATTTACTATATTATTGCCTATAAGAAGTCCTAGACGTTAATTGTGTAAATCCTCAGTGATTGACCTTAATCGCCCTTGATAATATAACTACTACATAATAACTACATAATATAACTACAAGTCTGAATAATGATAGAATCATATGAGTACCTATATGTTTTTAAAGATCGGCTAAGAGCAGTGGCGTATTTAGGAATTTTTTTATGGAGGGGTCCAGTTAAATTTGCAAACACATATCTGCCTCCTACACCCCCCCCTAAATATCCCTTGAGATCGTTGGTCAGTACAAAAGCAAAATGAATAACAAAAATAATCATGATATTTGATATATGAATACTGATAATAGATATATTGACACACACAATTATAGATGGCAACCATTCATAACAATTAGGATTATTACAAAAAAAAATAAAATTTTATGTGGTTAAAACTTATATTAGCACGGCGGATGTTTAAATAATTATAAATAAGGTAAATGGGAGGATCCGAACCTCATGGACTCCCCCCCTTCCCCGTAAATACGCAACTGATCAAGAGGTTTGCTGTATGATATTTTAAGCCCTTCAAACTGGATTTGTCTGTACACCGATTGGCTTATGAAAAAAGTATCAACCCTGAGGAACTATAGGAAAAACTTTCTTGCTAGCGTTGATAATGGTCTTTTCAAAATCAGTTACTATTTTGATAGGTGCACTAGTTATTCTACATTCATCTAAAGATGATTGTACAGTTTTGAGAACTTTGATTTGAGCATATTGAAGACTTTTTTCTTTTGATGATAACAGTTTCCGTGTTTTCCCGTTCCTAATGAAATTAATTGTCTAGTAATTTTTTTTTTAAGAATTAAAATAATAAACTGACTCATTAATCACGTATCATAGTAAAACCAATACATTTCGAGCTGATTTAAAATTATAAAAAAAGAAAGATGTATAATATTTTTGATTTTTTTTTTCTCCGATATTCGAGAAGTATACCAATCGAAAAATATACCATTCGGCCAAAAGGGTTCAGGAAGTATGATTTCAGAATAAATACTATTCGGGAAAAATAATGGTAAAATCCATTTTGATGATTCATTATAAATTTGAAATTACTAAATGCCATTATGCCATAGACCATACCCCTATCTCCATATTCCTAGAGGTTGCTGTGCACCTCTTGTTAAATCATTGAAGCTACCTCTAGTACCTACTTACCTAAACAATAAGTGTTTCCTATTATTATATTAAATTTGTGAATAACTAGGATTTTAAAAATCCAATATTATAACCACTAAGTAGTAGGTACTAAGGATCGTCCTTAGACAATGACTAAAGATAATTACTACCTACTTATAATTAGGTGACTTCTAGTTAAGAATACCTACTTAGAAGGAGTTATTAGTGTAATTATCACTAATGGTATAGTTATTCGTAGAAATATAATATTTCAAACGTGCTATTATAATTACTTTTGGAAGGAGATCGAGTGTAAATGTGCGCATACCTACCTACCTATAAAAGTTCTGAGTTGTCATAAAATATCATATAATAAACAATTACGTTCAAACTAGGTATCTATATAATATAGTTATATATATTTATATAACTAAATATTAAGTTTAATATAAAAAAATTATGAAGAAGTTTTCACATGGTATATTTCCATTTTTTTAAAATTATTTTGTCTTTATTTTTATTTTTCTACTAAATTTTAAATTATTTAGAATAAATAGGTTGTAAACTCATCACAGGAAATTACTCACTCAAATAAGTTTATTTGAAAACAGATTTATTGTATAACCATAAAAACAATTAATTTTTCTTTGTAGTTACTTAATATTCAAAAAGTCATAATGTAAAACATTGTTTTTATTAGATAAGTAAGTACCTAGGTACCTACTTTGTTATGAATATTAATTAATATATTTTTTTTTACTCTTCCAATCATCATTTAGCTCACGGCTCACTATATCAAATACAAATTTTTAAATTAGGGTATTAATTAATAAACAAGTTTTATTTAACTGTGAAAATTTGGATATTTTAAATTTAATCAAAAAAGTATTTAAATTTTTTGATTTAGAAAAAGTATACTTACCGAAAAATGTAATCATTGTAGTTCATTACATTAACTTAGTACCTATTTAAATACCATAAACCATTGTATTTATTTATAAAAGGTAAATAAATAATTTAACTAAAAAATATTTGTAGGTATTCTTATAAAAAATATTACTATAATATTAATATTTATATTTGCTTTTATCCAATTATTATCCATATTATTATATGATAATATATAAGTTGATTGTAGATAAATGGGTATGTTAATTTTCAAAATATTTTAGCCATTTTTGAGCTATTTATAGTCATTTGAATTTTGGGAGTTTTTTACGTAATTTTTATTCGGTTGGTACTCTGTGGATAAAATTGTTAGACTAAATAGAAAGGCTTGAAAATTTTAACAGGAGGTTTATTATAAATTGTATTATAGTAAAAAATTGAGTGTTATGCAGTATTTTTTGTATTGCTATCGTTAGTTACAGATATAAATGA